CGACCCGGTCAAGGAGCAATAATCGCTGACTGACTGCAAAGAGGAGGCAAGAAAAGTGGGCCGATAAATAGATGGATAGCTGTAGGTAGGCGAGAAAACCCTGGCTCACACAGTTATGTACGTACGTCTTCATGCCATGCCATGCACCCTCTCGTCCCGGCACCCATCACATCAACCACTAAACTGACGGACTCCCATCCTGTCGTCTGCCCCGCTGGCTGGCTCGCTGGCTGGCTGGCATACATCGGTACATATGGTGTGCAACAAACCAAACCAGCCGTCCGTCCACTCAATGACTGACTGTCACTCACTCATCCCCTCTCGTCCCTCAGCGCCACCTCCCAGTGTACCCGGTGGCAGTGACGTGTGCCGTCTCCCCGACCGTATGCCGACCCCATTCCCCTCACCACTGGGCGCCTCACCAGCCAGAAATGGGAGCGCCTTGGACAGCAGCGGGTGCAGGGGTCTGGCCACGCCCAGCGGGCCCCCCACATGGCTATGGCTGCTCGGCGGCGGCCGCTGAGCTGGCGGCATCTGGAACGCCCCTGACAACACAGGTGCGGTGGCTGGACTCACCGCAGGGCCCGGTGGGGGGATGAATGCCGATGCCGCCCGGCCAGGGACGACACTGCCTCCCGGAAATTGCACTACCGAGGGCGGTGGCGGGGTGAAGGGGGGACAGGGGCCGCCAGGGGGAGGGGGGAATGGTGGGGCCCCTGTCGGTGGGTGGGGTGGTACTATCTGCGCTGCTGCTGGCGGCGGCATCTCTGCCGACTCGGGGATGGGCGTGAGGGCGGGCGGCATCACCACAGCCAGCAGCTGGTCGGCCCGAGACGCGTAGGCCGGGAGGGTGAACATGCGCAGTGTCTTGATGACCGACATCAGCCGCTGCGTCCGAGCCATGTCGGCGCCAAGCTGAGATTGAAGCTCTCTGAAAGGAAGGGACAGCAGCAGCAGACAAGCAAGCATCAAGTGACGGCAGCTGGACCAGACCCCGTCCACCTCTGTGTTGTGTGTGGCTTGGCTTACTGTAGTGTCTTTGTCTTGGCGTTGAGGTCACTTTTGATGACGCTCAGCTGCCGATCGGCCTCTTCTTGCACAGCCCGCCGCCACCGAGCGCACAGCTGGCACTGACACGGCAGCTGCGGATCCTGGGAGTGCCGAACACCGCGACTCCGGGCATACAGCTGGCATGGCAGCATGCCTTCAGCTGTCCCCTCCCCCCCTGTCGCCTCTCCCCCAGCTGCTGCTCCCTCCGGTACCAACAGCCCCCTCTGCGCCGCCTCCTGCTTGAGCTGCTCCTCAGAGCTGCTGCCCCATCGCTTGGACCGTCGTGTGGCCACTGGCACCGATAAGAATGGGCGGCTGTCGGTGGCGGCAGCGCCACCCGTGGCCGGCATGCCCTTCTTGATGGACGGGCGGCGGACATTCCTCCTGCGGCCCTGGGCTGCCGCTGATTCATCGGACGGCTCAGAGGATCGCGGCTGGTCGTCGTCCATGTCCCCGGGAGAGGCGCTCGACGGGCCAGGCTCCTCCCCCTCGCACACACGCTTAAGCGGAGGCCCCTGCACAAACGACACAACAGACAGACACATTCGCTTCCAATCCAGGAACCCAACACGCGACAGAGAGCCCTGCGCACACTCACCTCGTTGCCCGCCGCAGACGATCGCTTGTGCGCCCCCGGCTGCGATGGCTCGCCCCCCTCCGTCCCTTCCCCTGGGTAGCCAGAGGGCTCGGAGGACATGAATGGTGCCGGAAGCGGTGGCGCGGAGTCGATCCCGGGGCCCCGGTTTAACAGAATGCCCTTCTGGCCACCGATCTGCGAACCCCACGGAAGTGAGAAGTGGCGCTTCTGCTGCCGCACAATCTGAAGGAAGGAAACAAGAGAGAGATGGATGAGAGGCAGGAATGGAGAAGTGTGCGTGTGTGTGTGCGTGTGCGCTTGTGTGTGTGCTCACCCCTTCTTGGAACATGGAAGCAGTGATCGAGTGAAGGCTTTCCAGGTCAGCAGAAGCTGCACACCACAACGCAGCCAGCCCAACACACCACACCAAAGCACAGCCCATTCAACCAACGGCTGGCATGTCCCTCCCGGTCACTCACTCATTGACTCAGTCAGTCAGTCAGTCGGCTTAGCTTACTTACATGGCAGGGCCTGCCTGGACACATTGAGCGCCTGTTCCAGCGTCAGCAGCTGCTTCTCGATGGCGTCGGTCTCCCCTCCCCCGCCTCCACCCATCCGCAGCTGCACGTCACGCAACTGACTCTGCAGGTCACTCAGCTGCCGACGCATTGCATCCAGTGCACCCTCTGAGGACCCTGCTGCAGTCTCCTGCTGGAAGGGTGGTGATGGTGAAGGGCTCGCCTCGGCCACTACTGACTCCCTTACGGTGGGTAGTGGCGACGTGCGGCTGTCCATAGAGAGGAAACGGGGGCGGTGCACCAGCCCCATCTCCTTGCGATGGGACGGGTGGGGGGGCTGGCTGCCGCCGTTTGTTGACGCCTCAAACATCCGCTTCCTCATTTCCCAGAAGGCGGCCTCTTCATCCCTCCTGGCCTGCTCCGAAAGTTCCCCCATCACCGGAGCGGACGCATGCCTCCCCGCCGCCCGCCTGTCGCCCTCCACGTCGGCCATCATCGGCAGCACACTCCCGTCGTCATCCATCGCCGCTCCCCTCATGTTGGGCGGGCTGCCGCCATTCGACCGGTCGAGAGAGAAGGGCTGCAGACCGCCAATAATCGAGTCGCTCGGGTGTCGCGGGAAGAGCGGCGAGAAGTTGTTGCCGTCGTCGGCGAATGGGGGTGGCGGGGGAGGCGGCAGCGTGTGGTCGTCCAGCCCTGCGAACAGGGGCTCTGTGGAGGGGAAGAGCGGTGGGGAGGACGAGTTGCCTGAGAGCGACCCAGCTGATAACGTGTCCATTCAGCGCTCTAGCTGGCAAATGCCTGAAGCCAAGGAGAGGAAACAGACGACAGCCACACATCCATACATACAGTCTCATTCTCTGTAAGTAGTCTGATCATGCCTACCGACAAATAAGCGTCAGGTCAGTCAGGGAAATAGCAAACTCGTTTGTCATACAAGTGGAGTCTGACAATCGAATGTCATTGAGCCGATGTTCTTGGGAAGTCTGCTTCTCAGCTGAAGACTCAGTAAGTTACACGGTGTAACTACTGCTCTAGGCCACACACGTGGCCAGACCAGGTGTCGCCTGCCCTCTCCTCCGCACAACAAAAAATCCCTGGGACAATAAGCAGCTGACGCCTGTGTGTGTGGCCTTCGAGTTTAAGCAGCCACGATCATGGCCCTCGCTGTCGCCAGTCGTCGCTTCACATCTGTCCTGCGGCCCCAGGCAGCCGCTGTGTTTGTCGCCAGCAAGTATGTGCGGCCCTTCTCGACAACGGGCAAGCCCGACAGCCGCCACATGTCCACCACGGCTGCTGGAGAGGTGAGAGCGACGGAGAAGGCAATAGACGGCACAGCGGGCACCTGAACGACGGTCTTGTGTTGTGTATGTGGTATGGCGTGGTCAGACGAGCCAGATGAAGGACGAGCTGCCGAAGGGCGAGATTCCGTTCATCAGTATCAAGGACGAGAAGGCCAAGAAGATTGCCTCTGCTGAGCCCGATGTGTAAGACGGGACGGTCTCCCCCTGAGGGCCCTGCCTGACCTTCACTGCATGGCAGTGATTATATGTGCTGTGTGTATGTCTTGTGCGTGTGGGTCTCTGGTTTTGTTGTGTGCCTGAAGGACTCATTTCCGCACCCACGGCGGGCACCACCCTCTGGAGAAGCAGGCCAAGATTCTGCCCTACCACTCCTGGCTGCCCCATCCCGTCTGGGGCGAAGAGGCCACCAGCACCGTCAAGTCAGTCGCACACACACACACACACACACGATCGCAATCCGCCAGCACATCCATCCATAGCACACTGCTTCACTGGCCGCTCGTGTGTACGTTTGTCATTGATTCATCCGTCCGTCCATTGCCTCCCTCCCCTCCTTGGTTCAGGATCACCCACGTGAAGCCCGAGGTGTTTGCGGATCGTGCGGCCTATTTCTGCGTTCAGAGCCTGCGGGCCCTCTGGGACGTCACCACCGGATATGGCAAGGTACGGAGGGAGGGAGGGAGGCAGGCAGTGCAGAGGATCCATCCTGCGTATAAAACCTGTGCTTCGTATTGTGTGTGTGTCCTGCATATATATAATGACTTTCAGCCTGGTTTCAAGGAGGCGGGCTGGATTGACCGCATGACCTTCCTCGAGACCGTCGCCGGCGTCCCAGGTATGTCTGTCGGGCTGCACACGCCACAAACCACACCACCACCAGACGGACGGACGGACGGACGGACGGACGGGCGATTTGATGGGGTGAGTTAAATAAGTGCGTGTCTGTCGACCTGACTGACATGCATCAGGTATGGTTGGAGCCATGTGCCGTCACCTCCAGTCGCTCCGCCGCATGGAGCGCGACTACGGCTGGATTCACACGCTACTTGAGGGTCAGTCAGTAGGTCAAGTGGGTGACCCGTCCACCCGTTCATTGATCGATCTTGTGCGGCATGTGTGTGTTGACCTCACACAGAGGCTGAGAACGAGCGCATGCATCTGATGACGGCGTTGGTGCTGAAGCAGCCGAATGCGTTCTTCCGCGGCTCCGTGTTGGTGGCCCAGGGCGTGTTCCTCACCTTCTTCTCCATCTCATACCTCATCAGCCCCAAATTCTGCCACAGGTCAGTCAGTGAAGGAGTGCGTGAGACAGCGGTGGGCGGGGCAAGAACACAGGAGAGCTCTTGTATGTCTGTGAGTCAGGTTCGTGGGGTATCTGGAGGAGGAGGCCGTCAAGACCTACACCAAGATGCTGGTAAGCCACTCAGTCTGTCAGTCTGTCAGTCAATCAGTTAGTGAGACGGGCAAGGAGGACTCACACACGCACCAGCGCTGTCCTGTGTGTGGTTGTGTGGTCATTCATTCACTCATGTAGGAGGAGATGAATGCGGGCAAGCTGCCGGGGTTTGACATCCCGGCCCCCCCTGTGGCCCGACACTACTGGCAGCTCGAGGAGAACGCCACACTCAAGGACGTCATCCTTGCCGTCAGAGCTGACGAGGGTAGGGAGATACGTACGATATAGACAACTACCTATCCTATCCACACACACGAGAGATCCGGCCGACACACCTGTGTGTGTGTGTGTGTGTGGTATGGTTGATCAGCGCACCACCGTGAGGTCAACCACACGTTTGCTTCGATGCGCCGCAACGACCCCAACCCCTTCCCACCCGGATACTGAACGAGCAAACGAATGGGAAGCACACCTACACGCTCACCCGCTGTACGTACGTACGTAAGTATGGCGTTCATTCACACACTCCGCTACGCTGCACCACTCCCACTCATCTCACTGACTGACTGACTGGCTTGACTGTCTATCTATTTTTTCGGTGCCGGGCCGGGCCGGGCATGATATGATACGGGGATGGATAGACACACACGTACTCATATCGGGGCAAACAAGTGAGTGCAGTTATGGGGGGCCTGCAGAGGGAATGTGAGTAAGTAAATGTGGTTGCTGGATGGGATGGACGACGGGCTTTTTGCGCGTGGACGGATGGACTGACTGACCGACTGATTGGGTGAGAGAATGAGTGTAGTGCGCCCGAGTGGGTGGGTGAGTCTGTCCTGTTTGGTGTGGCGGGTGCTTCGGTTGCTCGGGATGCAGTCAGTGTTTTAAATCAGCACCTGTGCGTGCGTGCGTGGGGATATATGGGATGGATGTGTGGGTGGGTGGACGAATGGCATGCCATCCTTCCTGGTGATACGGCTTGTTCAACCGAATGCTGACCCACATGTATCGATCACATGTATCACATCTACACGCTGGCTGCACACCACTCACACACACACTCATTACCCATTCACTGCACTGTCTAACTACTTACTTCCTCTGACTGGCTGACTGTTTTCCTGTGTGCGGCCGACGTGCGGCCAGGCAGCAGGTGGGAGGCGGCTAACGGCTGATCCCTCCTGCCCTTCACGTGTGGCTTCTGTGCGTATCAATCCAGCCTTGTAAGTCTGATCGTAGTCATGTCGGAGTGTGGGAGGCAGGGAACTTTTGGGGGACGGTCGGGGTGGGCGGTGTGGTGTGGTTTGGACAATTGAATAAAGGCAAGCGTGGAAGCCTACTGGCACATAAAAGAGGACAGGAGAGGGAGGGCAGGCAGGCAGGCAGGAAAGGCGCCGCGTGTGCGCGTGCGTGCGTGTCTCTGTGTGCGATGGATGGATGGATGAGCGAACAAACGAGGGAGGGACTTAAATGCCGACCGACCGACCAACGGACATACGCACCCTGCCCTGCAGCAATGAAAGCGAGGTAGCCGGTACTTGTTTCTGCACATGTGCGTGACGGCACATGAGCTACACATCCATCCCATCCACACACAAGTAGCAACCTGACAGACAACACGACACGACACGACACCTACTGGCTGCCTGTACGTCTCTGTGTGTGTGTGGCTTCGTGGCTTACCTGACTACCTGACTGACTGAACGGTCCGTGGTCGTGCTTGATTTGGTTGCTGCACGCATGTCGTGTGCCGTGTGTCGGCGTTCATTCTAACGCTAGTGCAGTACATGACTGACTGACTGACTGCATCGTCTCTTGACTGGCATTTTTGGGAGGGACAACTTCGCACATGCATACAGTACGACGCACGAGTGACTTGAGGGTTCAATGAGAGAGACAGAGAGAGAGGTGTACATAGTACGCAAATGGTCGACTATCGCTCTCTTCCGGGGTTTCTCCGTCCACAGCGGCGTCACACTTGTGGGCAGGAGTGTTGAACTGCACTTCTGCACAAGTTTGACGCCACCTTGGCTGGAGTGACCACGGAAAGGAGCAATGTCGATTGATTCAGTTGCGAACAAGGGAGCCAGGAGCATGCCAGGCATGCGCCAGTCGCTGCACTCACTGACGAGACGTGTGATGGAGCTGTTTGTACGTGACACGACAGCCGGGGACGATGACCGACTGGACGCACGGACGGGATGGCAGCCTGAGTGGGGAGGGGAACACATCGGTCGGCTCTCGGGTGCTGACCCGGCGTCCTTTGTGCATGTGGTTGGTCCCTGTGGGGACGACAGTGTGCGTTCTGCTCCCTTTTTCATACCTCGGACGATTTGCTTGCCCCCACACTTTTGCGGAAGTCCGTTTGTGTCTGCGAGCTGGTGTTGTCGAAATCGTGGTCAAGCCTCGCGTGCGTCGTGTGTGTGTGTGTGTGTTTGTGCGTATGGGATGGTTTGCTTTGCGTGGCTCTCACATGGATGGATGGATGGATGGATGGGGACGAGTGGGCGTGGACGTGGATGCACACATGGCCCTGATGGGACTGAGTATATGCACGGATGCCAAGAAGTCTCGTCTCCCTCGCACTCACTCACTCACTCATCGACACATACATACATGATCTACTTACTACGGTCAGCAAGTCCCATCACCCACCCCGTTGATCACATCACATGTAGTCCCGCATCTCCGTCTTGAGCTTTCGTCTCTCGCTGGTCTTCTGCTGGCCGTAGTTGCCCTTGCCAGCACGCTTGGCCTTCTGCCGCACACGCGACCGCAACTGATCCGCGTTGTGACGCCGGGCAGTCGGACGCCACACCGATATCCTCGCGGGCTTATCCTCACATTCACGCCCATCAACATCAGCATCTTCGTCACCGCTGCTGCCCTCTGAACCATCCGCACCACCCTCTTCGCTTGCAGCCTCCTCTTGTCCCCGATTCCCTCCTGTCTCGTCGTCTCGTGTTGATAGCGCATGGACGTCATGGTTGTCGTTTTCATGATCATCGCCATCGTTGTTGATGTCGTTTGGGTCGTCCTGGCCCTGCCACGTGTGGAGGTCGAAGAAGGGGGGCGTGGGGGAGGCGCTGTCCCGGTGGTCAGTCTCTGGGAGGTCCTCCTCCTCTCCATCCCCGTCCTCATCTGGATGCAGCTCCTCACCCACCTCAGTGCTCTGACACGATCAATGTGTCACACACATCGAGTGACTGAACCACACGCGGTCATGCCGCTCACCCTCAGATCTCTCGACGAGAGGGAGTGCTCGTCCGATTGGTCGCCATCGGGGCGAGTGGCCGCCAGCACGTCGCTCAGCAGCTGCTCGTCGTCGGCCTCCAGCGGGTTGGCATGCATCACCCCTCGTCGGCCCTCACGAGTGGTCAGCCGCCTCAGCTCTTCCAGCTCTTCAGGGGGCACCACCTCGTGAAAACTGACCGACCGATGTCACAACAAGCAACAGGAAATGCGACACACAAGTGTTGTGTGTTGTGTGTGGTGGTAGGTTGGCTCATTACGTGGGCGCCTCCGCGACTTGTATGCCAAACTTGCGGAAGAAGAGCGTCTTGATGCAGTCGACGTCACGCGCAAAGTACATCTCGGCGTTCAGATGCGTCGTCGGCACGATCTGGGGGAAATCTGACACACCCACACACCCACACACACACTTGTGTTGCCCCTGGCCTCCCTCTCCCTCTCCCTCTCCCTCCCTCTGCCCGCCTGTCGTCCCATGACGCGCGCACCGATGACAGTGATGTTCTCCTCGTTGTCGATGAGGACGTTGAACTCGTTGAAGTCCCCATGGATCAGGCCGCTCTGCGCGAACCGCACAATGAGCTGCATCAGCCGCTCCAGCACCGCATGTGGATGGCGGAGCTCTCGTATCTGGGCCATAGGATATCCCTGGACAAAGCTCATGAGGATGGCGTGGCGGTTGGTGTCGATTGGTTGCGGCACTGGGAAGCCGTTGTCGTGAAGGGCCTTCATGTAGGCGAACTCCTTGACGGCCGCCAGTCGCGACAGGTACATCCAGCTGGCCGACTGACGCGACTGCAGGTAGTCACGGTTCCGCTTGATCGAACGGAACGATACCCGGCCTGCACACACACAGACAGGCAGGCGGGGAGGGAGGGAGGGATCACACACTCTGTCCATGTTGGCAGGGTGTGGTGTGTATTTCCCCTGCTGAGCTGACCGAGTCTGTGGAGTTTGAGGCAGACGACGGTGCCGTCACCAGTGACACAGAGGTGGATGTCGCTCTCCTTCCCGACACCTATACGCCGGCCGACACCCACAATGTGACCGCGATGGACGAGCGCTCGCAACGCCAAAAAGTCATACCTGTGTGGAAAACAAAACACCAGTAGAGCTCAGCTCCCTCGAGTGATCTGTTTGTTGTCTCTATTTGTCTACTGCCTCCCCTCACTGACTGACCCTAGGTAGGTGAGTTTGAACCCGTCGTATTTCTTGCGGTCGTGTGCGAGCAGCTTGTGCTTGAGGAGCTCCTGCAGGATCTTGTAGATGCCCGCCCGCTTCACCTTGGCGATGGACTCTATCAAAGGCACCGGCACCACCTGGCACACACACGACAGAGGGAGAGAGAGGATAACGCACCAGTTGTGTGTTTGTGCGGTGCACTAATGGATGCGTTGTGTGTATGTAGGGATCTGCCTCCTTACTTCATGGTTCTTCATGCCCATCTCCACTGCCGTAAGGACTCGGAAGTCCGTCTTGGACAGATAACGCAGAACGTTGGCGTCCAGACGCATCCTGCGTGGGGATCACCGACCCCTTCAAGGTCCGCTTTTTCTTTGAGCTCGCACGCCAGACCCTCTCTCTCACGAGACGGCAAAGGGCAACATGCATCCTCCGATGTATTCTTCCTACAGTCAGCCTTTCACCTATGGCCCCGCCTACGTCACATACGAACATGCGCAGCGACCCCAGCCGTTTTCCCCTCTGCGTCCCGTCTCCCCGTCTGTCCAGTACCTGCCGATGCCGATGGGCCAGCAGGTGGTCACCACCACTGAACTAAGGGGCCCTCCGCTGGTTGCAAAGTACACGTTTGGTCCACCAGCACCGAGATCTCGCTCGGCCTCGCCGGTGCGTCAGTTGCCGGGGACCGAGGGACCGCAGTACGGCTCAACCGTGGCCACACCAGTCCAGACATCGGCTCAGGTGAGCCCAGAGAGGCGGACAGTCACACCCTCGCCGCCATCAAACGGGAGACGGCCGGCCGGGAGGGAGGCGTTGTCGAGAGGGCGGGGGAAGGCTCGTGGCCCGGCAGTGCATATGCGGCCGCCACAGCAGGCTGCGACGGTGAGACAGACGAGACGGGATGGGTCCCGTCAAGAATGAATCAATCAACTGACTGACTGTAGGCATGCGATGTCTTCCTGTGTGTGTCTGGTCTGTCTGCCAGGGTGGATATTCCATCCCATCTCTGATTCCATCTGAGCCGTCTGCCAAAACCCCGCCCTCCATGGCACCGCCCTCATTCGACCTCCGGCCGCCAACAGCAGCCACAAGGTCGCCCCCCCAAGGGCCGCCCCGTCGCAGCGGCCCGCCGCGTGTCGATCCCAGCAGCGGCGGTGGTCAGACGACCCTCCCCCTGCCAGCGTGTCTGGACAGACACCTGAGAGAGGAGCTGAGGCTGCCAGAGGGAATCGTGAGAAGGGTCATGGCGCGATGCCTGCCCAGCGGACCGCCCGATCTCCAGCGTGTCAAGGTCAGTGGGAGCGATAGATGTGCAGCCTGTCCTGTGCCTGCAATCAATGTGTCCCTTTCACTCGACCGATAACCAGGCTGTGTGTTTGCTCCACCGCTCCTTGGCCATGGCATGGGAGCGGAGGCTCAGACGAGCACTCATCAGACTGGTAGTCATGTGGACATATTCTGCAAACCTCTCTCTCTGCACGTTGGCAGAATGCCCGGAGAGTGCCCTTCCTTCGAAGCGAGAGGGTGGCATCTCGCCTGCTGCTGGGCATTGTTAAGTTCGAGACCACCGTCCACGGCGTTGCCAGGCGTGTGAGGCACGACATGCTCTGGGGGGCATTCCACAAGTGGACCTCACGGACAAGCGCACCAAGACACGGCACACGGGGCGGCTGGCGAGCAAAAGCGCCGTCGCCCGACGAGTAAGAGCCCAGGGACGCAGGCAGGAGAAAGAATGTGTGGTTTCTTTCTGCTTGCACCTCTTCGTCTCGTCCAGGCTGGAGCTGCGTTCGAGTCGTGTGTTGCCAGAGGAACGTGCCCACCAGCTGCACATGATGAAGAAGGCCCACGTGCGGCTCAACCAGTTCGCCGACAGCCTGCCGTCGCGCTCGTCCTCAGTGCACGCCCTCATGAACCGCCTCAATTCCATCCTGCAGACACACTTCCAGAGAGACGCCGCAGACGGGTAAAGCGTGTATGCAGGCAACAACATCGAATCCTTTCTCTCTCTCCTTGTTGGTGTGTATGGATGTGTGTGTGGTGTGTGCAGTGGTGGTGTGGGGTTGTCTGGTGCCGAGCAGGCTGTGGCGTGTCACCTGAATGCTTTCATCGCACCGTTCAGGAGGAACCTGCTGAGGGCATGGTCCAACTGGCTGATATACGTCGACATCCAGCGAACCAGAGTGAGTCAGTGAGTGAGTCAGTCAGTCAGTGAGACATGACTTGGTGAGCCTGCCCCTCAACTCATTTGTTCGTTCGTTGGTTGGTCTGGTACGTATGTATGTATGTATGCAGGAGGCGCTGCAGAGAACCCTTCGCTGCCTCAATCTATCGGGTATCTATCTATCCATCTGCAAACCAACACACTCACTGACTGCATGGCATGCAATGCATTCATTCTTGTCACTCACAACTACCATGGTTATCTATCCTCTCCCTCCTGTCCCCTCCTCTCCCCTCAGCCATGACAATGCGCGTCCACGAGGCCCTCGAGCAGCCCCCAACGCTCACCGAGGCGGAGAAGCGACTCATCCAGCGGCCGCAGCGCCCCCCGCCTGCTCCACATGCGCATGCCTACCCCCTTCCCACCCGCACCTATGCACGGGCCCCTACGACTGACAGTTCCGACAGCTTCATTCTTGGCTGCGTCCACACTGATCAGCCACGGCTGCCCCATGACCTCATCGTGCGTCGGGGCCGGGCCAAGGGCAAGGGAGACACGACCTGGTCAGGGCTTGACGAGCCCTCATACCGTAAGAAACTGCGTGAGGCCATGTGTCGGGGAGGCGGGCGTTGCCAAGCGGGAGGAGCACCGCGGGAGCCGCCAATACAGACAGAGACGCAGACCGATCGGTGGTCTAAGGGGACGCACTATTACTACCCTGTAAGTGAGTGAGAGGAAATCGTGTCTGTCGTGTTGACCGTACGTACGAACTTGTGTCTCCCTCCATGTTTTGTTTGTGTCATTCATGTCAGGGGGGAGGGACGGTCCGGCCGTGGGAGATGGAGTGCGGCTATGGGCCCAGCCTCACCACCCTCTCGTCTCATCGCAACATACATAGCCCCCCGCCCCCGCCCCCTCTGTCTGTACGACACCTCCCTCCGCCGCTTAGCCTTCGACAAGAGGAGGAGACACGTGCGACACCGAAGCGGGATGAAGGGAGCGGGCCGGTGGTGCCGCCGCTGCCGCTGGGTAGCCCTGCGAGGCGCGGAGAGGCGCCTCCATTAATATTGGTTCAGTCTCCCAGGATAAGGGCTGTGTCGTCGCTTGAGATGTCGACGGACCGAGAGCCGGAGGTACACATCACATAGGTGGCATTGATTGCATCCAATTGGAACTGACTGACTGACTGGCTGACGGACTAAGTGTGTGGCTGATTGATTACCTCACGTGACGTCCGTTGTGTAGGAGGCGACAGAGAGGCAGCTCCCGACGACGCAGGACTTCACTGTCTCAGGTGAGCGATGCCATCCATCCATCCATCTGCCTCCGTGCATGTGTGCATGTGTGCATGTGCGGCGGCTTTGTTCGCTTTGTTGTCGCTGTGTCATGTCATGCAGCGTCCCGATCGATGGCGGTGACTGTTTCAGTGCCGCGCTACCTCTTTCGGAGCGAGAGCGACCATGCATCTGATGTGCAGCCCAGGCGGCATCTGGACGTCGCAGCGATGGACAGACACGGGGGTGCGGTGAAGAGCCTCCCGTCCACTCCGTCGAGAGTGAAGGGACGACTGAACAAATGAATGAATGGCCGCTTGACTGAGTGCATGAGTGCGTGACGACTGATCAGATTGATGCGCATGTTGATGTTGGTAATCGTGCTGGATGCGCGGTGGTTGTGTGAATCGATCGCGTCACCGACCAACACAGCCAGAAGATTAGATAGATAGGTACACGAATGACGAGACAAGAAGCAGAGTGAGTGAGTGAGTCCATGTATGTCCGTCCGTATGCATGGACCGTGCGTACCAACACACACACACACAGACATACGCACACACATGCACCGGTGGTGTGACCCACGGACGGCCAGGCAGACCAGCCCAGCGGTCGATACAAAGGCAGCCGCCCGGCCCGCAGCATGGCATGGACGGTGGACGGAAAAAGAACCCGACCGGTCAGTAGTAGACAAGAAACCAATACAATCAAAATATATTGACCTGTCTGTACACAAAAGGAGGGAGGGAGGAACCAAAGCAAGGGAGGGAGAAGGAAGAAGCCGTGATGTACGGCACGAGTGAGTTTCTCCCCCACCCACCCCCCCACCGGGCTGGCCGGGCCGGAATTAAGCAACGTCCATCCATCGTACATACATACATACATACATGTACGTGCGTACGTACATGCGTATGTATACATATGTATGTGTGTATCGATCTATCGCCTTTTCAGGCGCGGCGGTGTGCTGGCTCCGCTCCCCCTGCCCGCCCCGCCGTCCGCCACATGGCAAAAAAGCTTTCCACAGCCTGTACCGCACCGTCCCGCACCGCCCCGATCGAGCAGAGAGGCGACCAGAAATCACATGTATGTGTGTATTCGACAGGCATACATGCCACCGCGCCCCATGCACAGCACAGCACGCGATGTGACTCGGCCGATCTCCCGCCCGACTACAAATAGAACCACTCTGTCTCGTCTGGCTACATACGGGGGCCCGGCCGCCTGTACGTACCAACATGAATGGCAGCATTCAGAATCGATGGAGCAGAGCAACAGACACACTCATACACACACACACACATAGACACATACACTCGCGTTGGTTGGGTCAATGGGAGGGATGGCCGGCCGGTCGGTCGGGGCATGGAAGGGCGAGCATCCGACCGACCGATCGAGAGGCATGCCATGCAGCCAGCCGTACAGACAGGCAGGCAACGAGCAACAAATGGCGGCGGCTGCCTGGCTGCCTGCCTGTCTGCGAGCGATTGAAGGTCACTTGTGGTTGGCCGAGGCCATTTGCCTGCACAGCACACACATACACACAGGTGCACACGACACGCAGTGTGTGTCACCAAGTGACGGTCGGCTCACTTGGTGACTTCGAGTAGGAGCGAGGGCTTCTCCTTCAAATCCTCAAACGACGTCGTCCTGACAGGTGAGGGAGGGAGGGAGGGAGGAGAGGGGTCGATGACCGAGGTGTGCGTAGTATAGTGTCATGCAGGCGGTGAGGTCTTGCTTACTTTGACACGGCGTCAAAGTTCTTGATTAGGTACGTCAAGCAGTGGTTCTTGAGGTCAGTCGCCTGGTGTGGGTGGGGAAACACAACACAAGAACAAGAGCCATGCCTCCCTCCATCCCTCCCTCCCTCCCTCCCTCCCAGTGTGTGTGTGTAAGCATGTGTGTACCTGGTACTGGTCGGCTTGTTTGAGGAGGTTACAGACGTTGTCTATCTCGACCGAGTGGATGAGTATGTTCTCGCACAGCTGCTTCAGGCCGTCCAGCGTGTAGTGGTCCGCCAAACCCAGCAGCTCCCCGGTTATGTCGGTCGACAAATCAGTGATCCGCCCTAAATGACAATCAATCAAAGACAGACAGAGGATGCTCTGATTGTCTGTCTGTCTGGTGGGGGTGGCTGACCGGTGTAGAGGAACTCCAGCATGGCCATGAAGGAGTTGTATGACCACTCGGGGATGATGACCTGCAATTGATTGAAGACAGACAACACACATCCATCCATCCATCCACACACATGTGGGTGTGGCTGGCTGTGAGTCAGCCCATACGTACGTACGTACCTTTGATTCGAATGACTCCTTCATCTGTGTGGTGAACATGGCCCTGAAGTGCTCACACTGCGCCACCAGTATGGCCTTGTGCGCGTGGATCTCGCGATTCTCCACTACTCTGATAAATGGATGGATGGACCGGCCGACCCATCAGTCGACACACATCGCACAGAGTGAGTGGCTGCCTGTGTGTGTGTGTGTGTGTGTGTGTGTCGCTCATCGGATGCTCCCTCCTCGCTCGCTCACTCACATTGTGATGTCTGAGAACTCTGAGTTGTTGACCAGCTTGCGCATGTTGTCGATCAAGTTCCGAACCTGAGGGAGAGGAAGAAGGCGCGGAGGGGGGACACAGACAGACAGGGACGCCGCGCTGCGTATGTGTGAAGGGAGACTGGTGTGACCGCGTCCGTCCATACCGCCACGTCGTTGAGCGCGTCCTCCTCGAGCCGGCCGATGTCTAGAACATGCAAATCGTTCAACCTGCACCATTGATTAATGCGATCGATGAGTGTAGGTATGCACCGCACCGCACCGCACACACCACACCCACACCCAACACACGAGCGGCCAGGCCATTGTTGTGTCCCCCACCATTTATTTCCGTCGAATCCGCCGAATATGTACAGTTTCTTGGAGCCGATCAGCGACGCCGAGTGCCGCTGCCGACCCGTGGGCGCATTCTCGGACTCCCTGCACACAGCCAGCCAGCCAGCGATCCATCCATCCATCCATCCATCCAGACACACATGGCAACTCCTTCCCTCTGTGTGTGTGCGTACGCTGGGTGAATCCATCTCATAAGTGCCGTATCGAGGATGTACAAGTCGTTGGAGCGACCCTTGCCGTCATACCTGCACACACACACACACACACACACGGGGGATAGTGGCTGACATGACCTGACTGACTGACTCAGCCACTCCGTCCGTCAGCTGGCTGCCCTGCCTGCTTACCCTCCGAATAGGAATATTTTGTGTCCGATGAGGTTGGCCGTGTGGCCCCGCAGCCCGGGCGGCGGCGTACCCTGAATCTCGGGCTGACCCACCACACACACAAGCACACATTACATACATGTACTGCTGCTCTGTTGTGTTGTGTGTTGTGGAGCGTCCGCTCCTGCCTCCCTCACTGACTGACTCGCCTGACTGACCTGCGCCCACATCAACTTGGTGGTGTCGAAGACGTGCAGGTCGGTGAGGTGCTTGTTGCCGCTGTGGCCGCCAAACAGGTACAGCTTGGTCGTTATCACCGTCATCGTGTGGGCGTTGCGGGCCTGCAGTGCACACACGACACACAGTGAGTGCACAGAGTCTCTCCCTCCCCCCTCTGTGTGTGTGTGAGTGTGTGCTGTGGTGTGCTGGCGTGCCTGCGGGATGGTGCCGGTGAGGTTGGGCTGTATCCACGTCATGGTGTCCAGGTCCAACACGTCCATGTCATTGAAGCACTTGGTACCGTCATACCTACACACACAAACCGACACACCGACACACCGATACATAGGCACCACTGAATGATTGCAATGAAGGCACCACACACAGCTGAGCTGAGGTGCTTTTGCTTTGCTTTGCCCATCCATCCATCCATCCATCCACCGACCCGCCAAACATGTACAGCTTCCTCCCGACACGTGTGAGGGTGTGACACGCCCGGGCCGAAGGGGCCTGTCCAACACACACCCAGACATGCACACAGAGAGCAGCATATGTAGCAGCCCAGCAGGCCGTCTTGGTTGCTCTGCTTACGCTTCCTGAAGCTGCTGGCCTGACCCATGCGAGTTCGTCCAGCTTGCCCCTCTGTGCGGTGGATGTGTCGAGGACGTGAAGGTCCTGCAGCCACTTGGACCCGTCGTGGCCGCCGTGCACAAACAGCTTGGAACCCACTACGGCAGTCGTGTGCTGCATGCGGTGAGTGACCGACCCATATCATGACGGATGCATGGATGGATCCAACACACACAGCACAGCACATCCACCAGCATAGCAGTGAGTGATCCATCCATCTGTCGGCCTCTGTCTGTCTGTCTGTCTGCCTGTCTGGTGGCCTCGCTGGCTGCGTGTGTGTTTGCATGCCATGCCTCCTTACATTGTTTCGTTCGGCGGGAGCGTTGCGATTGGGCACGACTTCGTGCCACTCCCCCTTGGCGACGTCGAGGACGTGAAGGTCGTTGAGAGCCTTCTTGCCGTTCCACCCGCCAAACACATAGAGCTTCCCCTCCAACACGTCACACGAGTGCGCCGCGCGGGGACCTGGGCAGCTGTTGGTCGAAGGGGTCGTCCAGAAATGCGCCATATGTATGCCGCCGCCTCGACCCAGGCTTCAACTGCCACAAGCCGATGTGCTTGCTACACGGGCAGCGCCCACACCGCCGCGGGGAGAGCTCAACAATCTCTCACAGCTCGCAAGAAAGAAAGTCAGAGCTCGCAATGAGACGAGTCCTTTCCTTGACAGGGCCGATGGTGTCGTCTGACCCGTCCGTGATAGCGTCTATCTGTCTATCTCTTTCGTCCCCTTGGGTCCACCGAGTGCGGCTTACCTGACTTGGCGAGTGAGCATTTGAGTATGCGTCAGGGCCTGGACCCCAAGAGGTCGGTGCTGTACACGCTGAGCGACGGCAAGGTGGTGTCGATCAGCCTCGATGAGACCACCGACCTTAGCGCCGTGCGCGTCAAGGTCACCACGACGGTCGGCAGCGGCGCCAGCGCCTCGCAGCTCTTCCTCCACTGGGGCGTGTGTCTCCGCAGCACCACCGAGTGGGCCGTACCCATCCCCGAAATCATACCGCCTGGCAGCGAGGTCATCAATGGTGCTGTCCGCACGCCATTCTCGCCTGTCGGTGCGGTGGCCGGTGGCGGTGGGACGTCGTCGCGGCAGACGGTGGTGATAGACTTCGGCCCCGCTGCCGAGGTGCCGCTGGGCTTCCAGTTTGTGCTGTACCAGAAGGACGACGGCACCGGGGCCGACAAGTGGGTGCGGCCGGGCATCAACAACTTTTTCTTCCCCATCAAGACGGTCATCAGCGACCTGCAGATGGCCGAGGTGCGGCAGGCCCTGGTGGACCGGCTCCCTGCCGTCAACATGAAGTTCGAGCTGCCCCAGCACCAGTGCTCGCTGGACGTCTTCATTTGGACGCAGGACGACCGGGCGGAGGTCGAGGTCCTCACCAATGTCGGCTTCGACGTACTGCTCCACTGGGGGTGTGTCGAGACCGACGACAAGACAGATAGGTGGACCATGCCTGAGCCAAGGCTGAGGTCAGCACTGCACTGCACCGGACAAACAGACCGACAGACAAGGCGGAACACAACACACGGGCCAGCCAGCCATGTGGAGTGGAGTGGAGATGTGTGTGTTCGTGTTGGTTGGTTTGTTGGCTGCTGCCATGATATGTAGGCCGGTGGACACAGTAGAGAACCCGCCGACGCCGCGAGGTGGCGGTTCTGTGCAGACGTTGCTGCACCGTGGTGTGCATGGTGGCGGCACCTATGCCGTGCAGTCGGTGCGGCTCGTCATGCCCTACTCCATCAGCCCCCGCCAGATGGCATTCGTCCTCAAAAGCAGACACTCGGTATGTATGTATGTATGGACCGACGGACGGAGGCGCACAGCACTCACAGGATGGATGGGTGGCTGCATGACATACATGTCTGTCGATTCGATTGTGTGTATGTATGTATCAGAATGAGTGGGTCAAGTACCTGGGTGGCGACTTCTTGGTGCCCATCCCCTACTCAAAGGTGTGGCAGCAGAGGCTCAGGGACGTCCGCGAGGCACAAGACAAAAGCAAACAACAGGTATGTAGGTATGATGGATGGATGTGGGTCAGTCAATGAATGCGCCAGCCAGCCAGCCACACCACTCGCCGGTCGCCTCCCTCCCGCATACATACACACCGTCTGTGTGTTGTGTGATGTGATTCAGCCGATGGTTCACCAGTTCCGGCAGCGGAAGGGCAACCTGGTGCAGCTGCGCCTCGAGAGGAAGGCCAAGGAGCAAGACATGATTTTCTTTAGAACCTACCAGGTAGGGTAGGCAGCACATTGACTAGCTCCCCCCCCCAGCAATCCAGCATTCATTCCCATACACACAGGGAGAGACCACCCCCATGTCATGTGTATGTGTGTGTCTTGTCTTGTCAGGTGCGTGACTCGATGTCTGTCGGGGACGGCCCTTCGAGTGGTGTGATAGGGGAGGTCGACGTGGTGGCGTACGACGACTCGCACCACTCGGTGAAGGTGCAGGTGATAGCGAGCGTCGAGGGCGCCAACCAGCCCATCCCCCTCACCTTCCACTGGGGCGTCTGCCTCACACGCCGGTCCAGGGAGTGGGCACTCCCCAAGCGAGAATACTGGTGCGCAGCGTAGCGGACAGTCAGACACCCTGAGGGATGGATGGACGTCGGATGTGTGCTTGCTTCAACCCCCACCTTGTGTGACTGCCTGCCTGTTGTGCTGTGTTGTCTGTCTCGTGTGCTGTGTGTTGCGTTGCGCTGCCTGCCTGCCTGCCTGCCTCTGTCTATTTGTCAGGCCCGAGGACACGACGGCCGTGTCGTCGATGGCGTGTGAGACCCGGCTGCGCACCGACCCCTCCAGCGGGCTTCAGACCGTCAACCTTGAACTCCCCAAAGGGGTCAGTCAGTCAGTGTTAGTGCAGTGCAGTGCAGCACACACTCAGACATACACGAGGGGTGGTAGGGTGTCTGTATCTCCGTGAGGGCTGCATTCGTGTGTGTGGATCCACCCACCATGGCATCCATGCAGGTGTCTGAGGAGAAGCGCGAGGCGGAGGTGTTTGGGCTGTGGTTTGTGTTTCGGGAGGCCAACGGGCCGCGGTGGTTCAAGGACGGCCAGCGGTGCGATTTCTTCATCAAGACCAGGCGCGACACCCCCCAGGAGGTGTGGCGGGGCCGCCTGCAGCCACTCGTCGACAAGATACTACGCGCAGAGCTGCAGAGGCCCGCATGGTCCATCGTCCAGAGATACAGCCTTTGCCAGGTCGGATGGATGGATGGATCGACAAGAGAGTGACCTTGGGGGGAAGGAAGGGAAGTGGGTGGTACCTGGCACAGATAGATGGATGTGTGTGTGTGTGTGTGCTTGTGTGCCACCAGGAGTTGCTCGATGACGATTCGCTGAGCAAGGCTGACATCGACGTGTGGGCCTGGATCTACGTCTGGTTCAAGTAAGACAGGACAGACACCCCAAACACCGCACACCACCCCACCCAACACACCAGCCGCCAACCCACATGGATCGGATCACCTGCCTGTTTTCTGCCGTGTCGTGTATGTGTTAAGGTTCGCGAGTCTGCGGGTGTTGGATTGCCAGCGGGGTGGCTCGACGACGCACCCCAAGACTTTGGCGGCGGCGGGGAACCAGCTGTCGTTGACGCTGTGTCACTTCTGGCGTTCGTCGGTGAAGAACCGTCCGATCATCCGGATGATCCTGGCCATGCTCGGGCGCGGGAGCGTCAGTAGCGGCCAGCGGATCGAGCACGACCTCTACCAGATCATCCACCGACCTGGCAGACCACAATCGCACAGCCAGTTCCTCGACCAGTGGCTCAAAAAAGTCACACACAACCCCACACCAGACGACCTACTCATCTGCAAGGTCAGTGAGTGAGGGGGATGTGATGTTATGACACCTCACCTGTGTGTGGCATGCTCATTGTGTCTGTCTGTCTGCCGTGTGGTGTGCTTCATTCATCAGGGTCTGTTGGCGTATTTGAAGTCGGGTCAGGTGTCCGACTACTGGGGCACACTCGAAGACGGCGGCCTCACTCGCGCCTCCATCGGCACCCCCGAGCACCCCATGGAGGTCGACCCATGCTTCTCCTGCTTCGACGCCCCCGCACCGGGCGGCCGCAGCAGCACCGGCAGCACGCCGCCCGGCACGCCAGGCGGGTCGCACCACTCGCCCGGCGGCGTTGCCAGCCACAGCAAGCGGCGTGAGCGGGACGAGCTGGTCAAGGACTTCGAGGAGTACTTGAAGGTGCTCAAGGCGGTGCATGACCCCACAGACCTCAGGACGGCCGTAGCCTATGCCAGGTGAGCCGTCAGGGAGGGGCGCAGGAAGGAAGGGCGCAGGTGTGAGAGAGGGTAGGGTAGGGTGCATGGTTTGGTCTGTGTGTCTGTCCTGTCCGTGGTCAATTAGGAATTCGTTGACAATGGAGTTGGAGGAGGCGCTGGATGAGATACTCAACTACCCCGGCGCATGTGACAACTCACAGTAAGGACGCACTCCTTCCTGCTCTCCAGACAGCACCCTCTACCCACACGCCGTCACGGGTTGGTTGGTATATACCGTCTGTCTGTCTGTCTGTCTGTGTGTCAGGTTTCTTCGTGTGAGCACGGCCCGTCTGCTGATCTACCCCATCCTGCGGCACTGCACAGACATCCATGTGGTGCGGGACTTCATGTTCCTCGACATCGCCCTCGACAGCCTACAGCAAAACATCATTCAGGAGCTCGCACAACAGGTACGTACACACGTACCTGCGGGGGCTGGGCTGGCATCTCGGTGGGAGGGGGGGGGGATGTGACCTGTTCGCGTGTGTCAATGTCCGTCCGTCCGTCTGCTTGTTTGTTTGTAGGAGAACGATCCTGTGTGTGTGTCGCTCTACTGCCGGATGGAGCAGCTGGGCCACCTGCTGTCGAGCCTCATGAACCTCCACCCGTGGTACGAAGAGATCTGCGCCGTCCACGCCGACTGGAACGCCATCGCACTCTACCACGCCGAGCTCATCAACCAGGCCAGGCAGCCACACACACACCACGCCGCAGACGTCAACATCAACAACGCCAAGAGGGGTGGCCACCCCAACCCGTCCGCACCTCAGGTGGGGCCCTCTCTCGTCGCCCCCATGCTCGTGGCCACCCCAGTGCCCAAGACGTCCTTCAATGAGCCGCCCAAGGCCATGCTGGCGTCGCCGCCCAGCGAGGCGAGCGGGGGGGCAGGCAACTCGGTGGGGGCGGCTGATGACAACCCCGTCGAGAGCGCGCTCTGTCTCAAGAGCGTCTGTGACCGAATACACCGGTGTGTATGTATGTCTGTGTGTGTGCTGAGGGCACGGAGGGAAAGCGCACTCATGTACTTACTGGTGCCTGTGTCTCTGTCTGTGTGTGTGCTGTGCTCTGCAGTTGTGTGGGTAAGTTGATGGATTTGTGTGAGGAGAATTTCCACGACAAGGCCACGTTCCTGGGGCAGCACGTGGGGGCCGACGGGTCGACCACCGAGTGCTTCGTAGAAGACATGGTCAGAAACTCAGTGCTCTTCTCAGTCTCACAAGTAAACAAACCAGCCAACAAGGAAGACAACCAACGAAGGAGGAAGAGCTACACGCCTAACTCCTTCCCTCCCTCCCTCCGTCGATCCTTTTCCACACTGCCTGCAGGTGCTGCAGCGTGTGGAGCCGTTCTTGCGTGAGATAGCCCACCTGCCGCCATGGCAGCTCGTGTCGACTGTAGAGCGGGTCGAGGGCGAGCTCGTGCTCGTAGACCGACTCACGAGCGTCGAGGATCGCATTTTCGAAGTCCCTACCATACTCGTCTGCAACGCCGCCTCAGGTGGGTGGGGTGGGCAATTCATGCCATGCCATGCACACCCACACACAGACACAGACACAGACACACAGAATGACAAAGTGAATGATCCATCCATCCACATCAATCACATGGGGCGGGCGTGGCATGTGTGTGTTTGATAGGTGAGGAGGAGATCCCTGAGGGCTTGGTGGGAGTGCTGGTGCGGCACGGCTCGGAGGGGCCAGACCTCCTCTCGCACCTCGCCGTGCGGGCGCGGAACCTCCGCATCCTCTTCGCCACATGCTTCGAGAAACAAATCACAGAGCGACTCCAGTAAGACCCATCCATCCAACAAACGCATCACAATAAATGCAAAACATCCCATCATCCCTCTCTCATCCATTCGCCACCATTCGTTGGTTGCAGGATCTACAACGGCCAGTGGGTGCGTGTGACGGTCAAGCGCGACGGTAGCGACCTCTTCATCAAGGCCTGCCCACGCGTCGAGAACCCCGAGCTCACACCCGAGGGCACCCCCCCAGAGCTCACCCGGCCGACAGGCGACGCATCCGCCGCCACTAGTAGTGACGCCGCCCTCGGCAGGCACCAGCCGCACCACGCCCCCCCGCCCACCGGCGAGCCGCTCAACCTGTCGATGGCCCCGGCCAGCGGGGCCCCGTGGGTAGTGCTGGCGAGGGACTTCGACGCGCACAATGTGGGGCAGAAGTGCCTCAACCTGCAAAGGATGGGTAAGCAAAGCAGCCCTTGGGAGGGAGGGAGGGAGGGAGGGAGGGAGGGAGATGGTGGTGCTTGTGTTGGTCGGTCCATCCATCCATCGTCTCATCTGTCTGTTCGGTGTTGGGCTCGTTTGCCCGTTCAGCGTCGGTGGGCGTGAATTCGGTGCAGATCCCCCAGTCGCTGGCCCTGCCGTTCGGCACGTTCGAGCGGACTCTCCTCTACCACAAGAACGAGGGGGTAAGCTAAACCATCAACCGACCGACCGACCATTCGACCGACATCTGACTGACATATCGCCGGCTTCATGCAATGCATGTGTGTATGTATGTGTGTATGTGTATGTGTGCGTGTGCCAGATCCTGGAGTCGCTCACTCGTGTGCTCAAGGACCTCTCCCACTCGTCGCAGCTGGCGTCGCCGCCCCCCGCCCCCACCGGCCCACCCACACTCGCACCAGGCCTCAGCACTGCAGATGTGGGGGCCACCGGCAACGTCGCGACGCCACCTACTGCGCGCGACAGCCCCCTTAATCGGCAGCTGGAGGAGGCGCGGCAACTCGTCATGAGACTCGTTGCGCCGCCCGAGCTCATGCAGGTGAGCTGGCTGGGCTGGTTGGGATGGGAGTCTCCTGGCAGAGAATCCATCCGGCGTGTATGTATGTCTGTGTCTCTCTGTTCGTTCGTTTATTGGTTGATGCGATGCATGCGATGCAGGAGTTCCGTCAGGCGGTGCAGGACACGAGCTGCAAGCGGCTGGGTGCTTTGTTCATGTCGAGCGAGAGCAGGGCGTGGGAGTGCATCAAGAAGGTGTGGGCCTCGATGTTCTCCCTCCGCCCCTGGCTCGCCATCCACCGCGCCCGCCTCTCGTACGCCGACCTCAGCCTGGCCATCCTCGCGCAGGAGGTCGTCCCGCCCGACTACGCCTTCATCATCCACACCTGCAACCCCTTCCCGCAGCAGGACGCCAGCAACGACGAGCTCTACGCCGAGATCGTGGTGGGGCTGGGGGAGGCCCTCACAGCCAACCTGTCCTTCCCCGGCCGGGCGCTCAGCTTCCGCGTCAACAAGTCGGCTGGCGCGGAGCCACAGTGCCTGTCCTTCCCCAGCAAGTCGGTGGGGCTCCTGGGCAGGCCGTCCATCATCTTCCGGGCGGACCCCAACGCACAGAAGCTCGAGGGAGTCATTGGGCAGGGTACCCTACGCACACACGAATGGATGGATGGATCAGTGGCTGGCTGCATCTGATTGATGATTCCTGCCTGATCCGTTTGTCGATTTGGTGCGGTGCAGGCATGTTTGGTAGTTATGTGACGGACGAGGCGAAGCGGGTGCGTTTAGAGTACCGCGGTGTGCGTCTGGTGAACGACAAGCAGTGGCGCGTGCAGCTGATGAAGAACATCGCAAAGATCGGCCTCGACATCGAGGAGGCCATGGGCGGCCCCCAGGACATAGAGGGGCTCATCAAGAGCAACCAAATCATCATCGTACAGACCCGCCCCCAGGCAGGCGTCAGCAGGTGATCCATCTGCCCTCACCTGCCGCCCTCCCTCCCTCCTGCCCTGACTGCCTGATGCTACTGACGCATTGATGCATGCCTTTCTTGACGGATTGAGCGACGGATGGATGAGTGAGGCCGCTGATGTGGGTGGTGTGGGTGGGGGAGGCAGACGCAGCTACCCGTGTGTGTGTAATCTGTGATCATATCGATTGATTGGTGTTATGTGGGGTGGGGGGGGGTGGTTGAGAGTGAGTGAGTGCGCGGGGCAGGACAGGACAGGACGGGAGGGGCCGGGACAGTGCTGGCATGCGTGGCTGCCTGTCCCTGTCTTGTGTGCGCCTCGTGCCATAGGTTTTCCCATATGTATACGTACATAGACACATCCATCCATCCACACCACTAACTGACAGCCACGCGCTATTTGCCTTCCTTCTTGACTGCCTGTGTGTGTGCGCATCCATCCATCCATCCATGCGTCTACCCCTTCCTGTCTGCCTGCTTGACTCCCTCCCTCCCCCCTGTATTTCTCATGTCAGTCAGCCACTGTCTGTCTGTGTGTGTGTGTGTGTCGTGCCTACTTGCTCATTCCCTACTCACTTGTTTGGGGGAGGGAGGATGTATACATACATACATACTCGCACACACGCAGGGCAGGAAAGACAGCAGCAAGGCGTTTGTGGTGTGGTGTGGCGCGCTGTGGGGTGGGTGGGTGTGGGGTGGTGTAGAATGACGTGTCGGTCGTTTGTGTGCCGTGCCGTGCCGTGCCGTGCCGTGCAGCGCCGCCCTTATTCTAGAGGCGGGCAGGCAGGCTGGCAGGCAGCCTATCTTTCTGTCTATCGATATATTGCTCAGGGAATGGGGGGCCGGGTGGGTGGTCGGTCGGTCGGTGCTGTCTGTATGTGTCCGTCTGTGTGTGTGTGTTTGTATCTAACGAATGGAGAGAACTGCCTGTCTACCTACCTACCTAACGCTACTGGCCTCCCTCCCTCCCTCCCTGTCCTCTCCCTCCCTCTGTCCGTCCCCTGTATTCCTCTGCCTGCCTTCTTCCCTTGCCCGTCCATGCAGCCATACACGCAGCCATACGTACATTCCGCCAGCCATTCATGCAGCCATTCAGCCATTCACCCAACTCAGGAGTCTGAGTCAGTTTGTTGTTTTCTTTCTTTCTTTCTTTCTTTCTTTCTTGTCCTTGCTTGCTTTCCGTTTCTGTCTGTTTTCTATCGACTTGACCCAACCAACTGCTTATGTATGTATTTGTGGTACGCATATATACCATACATATTACGTATACCATACCCTGTATGTATGTATGTGTGTACATTGGTTGGTTGTTACGGGTCGTGTTGTGTTCCAGACAGACAGACAGACAGTCCCCGTCTGTGTCGGCTGTTGGTTTGTTGTTGTTGGTACCACACACACATACACACACACATATACACACACATTTGATTATGTAAATCCACACACTCAGCCATCCACCCACCCATTCATTTCATCCCATCCGAACAGACAGACCCACACAGCTCACGACCTGTTGTCGTTGTTGTTTGTACATGTATAAAGAGCGAACGAACGAAGCAAGGGGCCTCCCCGCCGGCCCCCGCCTGCTCTCGTGTGTGTGTCTCGTGTGTGTATCTATCGTCCTTTGCTGACTGAGTCAGTGCCTGAGTGGTTCCTTCCTTGGTTGCGTTGCTTTTAAGGGCGCCTGTGTGCCAACGGCGGGGCTGACTGGGCGGTGCAGTCGTGTGTGTATCGGCTCGGCTTCCTCCTCTCTCGATCGCACACACGACATGCACACCCTCCCTGTCTAGACTCTCTCTCCACTGGGTGTGGTGTGTGGCTGACTCACTATTAGTGACTAGCTGACGGGCTGATAGACGGACAGATGGACAGACGGACAGGCGGACAGGCGGACAGATTGACAGACGGACAGGCGGACGGAAGGAGGGATCTTTCCTGGTCTTGTTCTCTCTCCTCTCTAGATGGACCTATGGCTACGCTATGGGAAGCACTGATCCATCCACTCATCCACTTATCCATCCCATCAGTGGACGGACAGGCGGACTTTTCTGCATTCACGGAAGGGCGACAATGACTGTGAGTAAGATGATGTACGGACGGATGGCTGCGTTTTCGTCGGTCGGTGCCCCACGGACCGGAACGGACCCTAATGCTGTCGAACTGAGTGAAGGCTTCTTCTTTGTTATCATTAGTCCTCATGCTCCCTATCTCTCTCTTGACCAGCCACATACTTGACAACTGGTTCATGTGTTGGTTGGTCGGTTGGTCGGTCGGTCGGTCGCACTTGGTTGGCTGTGGCACTTGGCCGCTTCTCGCCCTCGGCGTGTCCTGCTTCGTGCCACAAAAGGCAGGGGACGGCACTAGGTCGGGGATGAGCAAGCGGCGGAGTGCTCCGACAGCCACACACACTTGCACACACGCACAACCTGCTCAGATGGGTATTACAACCTGTTGGTTAAGGGCCCTTTGCTGTGACAGTGTCTGGATGGATGGCGCACTGAATGCATGTTGCTGGTTGGCTGGTTGTCCGTTTGGAAGAGAGGCTCGAAGGCAGGCAGGCAGGCAGGCCATGCGTACACAATTCTCACTCACTCTCCCTATTCATCCGTTCTCTTGCTCGTTCTCTTGTTCGATCGTCGACTTACTTGGTTGGCTCAACGCAGACAGAGACGGACGCGCCGGCCAGCCACGTGTGTCAGCCGTGTGTGGTGTGTCTCCTATTTTTGGTGGTCACCCGCCTGCCTCCCTCCCTGCCTGGCTGCCTGAGGGCTTTCTGTGTCTGTTGCCCTCCCGCCCGCCCGCCCGGCCGCTCGTGCCTGTCTGTATTGTTGTAATGACGTCGTTGATGATCACACATACTTCCGTATATCATATGGATGCCTGTGTGAGTTTTTGCACATGCATCCTGACAGACAGCCCGCACACACTCACTCACTCACGCAGGTGAGCTCCCTGTATGTACAGACAGACAAACTGCCTTGCCTTGTCTTCCTTCGCATCGTACGCGCATCCCTCCCATCCATTTTCTATCTCACCATCGGGGCCGACCATCGACCCACCGATCCATCCATCGATCGATCGATCCCGCCTGCGTGTGTGTGTGTGCACTTTTCTTCCTCTGCTATTCCCTCGCTGTCACATAAGCAGACCTCGGGCGTGCATGTAGGCAACACCGCCTGTGTGCGCTCGACGGCCATTTCTCGGCGACCCCCTGCCTCCTGCCTGCCTGCATTTCCCGTATGCATGTGTGCGTGGGTGGGGACGTGCGTGTGCCAGTGAGCGATGGGTCTGTCTGTGTGTCCAATGGGTGTATTTCTCGTCGGTCGATTTGGGCCGAGACACATCACTCACTCAGCAGCCAACCAGCCATTCAGCACCAGACAGACAGATCGATGGACATGTGTGAAAGGTGAGTCATGGCATGGTGTGACGGTGATGCGATATGTAGCCACGCTATCTGTCTCCCTACGCTACGTGCTCAGATTGGATTGACAGAGAGAGAGAGTATGTCGTCATATTTAATGTCCCTGTGTCGGTGCGTCCGTCCGTCGGTCTGTCAGTCTGTCTGTCTTTTGTGTGTGAGCAAGGCAAGGAGAGAGGGACGGAAGGCTGACAATATATGGTTGACGCACAAACATCGGTCGTGCATGCGCTCTGTAGACATGCTACATACCTACCTACATACATACACCCACCCACGCCACCGCACTGTTTGATGGCGTGACGGGCTGGCGGGCTGCCTGCCTGCCTGCCTGCCTTGTTGTGAGTGTGTGTGTGTGAAGACTAGTCAGTGGATGTGTGTCCATTCGTTCGTTCGCTGGTTCTTCTTGGCTCCTATCCACCCCACACACACCGAGAGACAGCCACAGCACTCCCACGATGGATGACTGCATGGCTGTATGCCTGCCTCCCTGCCTGTTTCTGTGCAGCACACACACACACACAAGCCACATCCGCCATGCATCATGACGTGGTGCGTACAGATGTACGGACGGCCACATACCATCCATCCATCCACCGATCTTTGCTTCCTTCCCTTGATCCATTCATTCCCTTGTTCTTCTCTTCCTTCTTGCGGTGTGGTGGTTAAGAATCGACTAACAAGAGAAGGCACAAAGAGAGAATTGCAGCGCAGCACATATAGCTCCGTGATTGCATTGCGTGACTGGTGGATTCATGGATCAAACGCAACGCACAGTTGCAAGCCTATGGCTAGCTGCCTTCTTGCCTCTTCCCTTGCCTGGCCCTCCTCGATTGCCTTCCTTCATGTCTGTGTGTGTGTGTGTGTGTGTGACCGGCGGGCAGCCAGGCAGACCGACTACGATTATGTGTTCGTACAGCCGAACGATTGATTGCATGATGCCTGATGCCTGGATGGACGTGTGTGTGTGTCCATGAATGAGTGAATGAGATACCTGGTCAACCAACCTTCTCTGTCTGTCTCGTCTTCTCACCTCACATGCAGCAGGAGCCCCCATCCATCCCATCCAGCACCCTCTGTCAGTCACTCAGGAGAGTCATCCTGTACACAACCGTCATCCGCCTCCCTTGCATCTCCCATCCCCTCGCCCTCTCCCTCTCTCGCGTCGGCCTCCTTTGCTTGTTTGGCCCCCTTGATCGGCAGCCGCACGACTGACTCAGCCCCTGCAGCAGCCATTGCCGGTGACGCGCCGCCCTTCCCCCTTGTGGCGGGCGGGAGACCATTCCGCAGCACAGGATCATTCAGCAGCATACCGATCTGATTGACACATGAAAGAACCGCACCATCTATCTGTCATTGTTGGGCGGGGGACGGCGTATTTACCTACCTGTGCCATGAGGGCCACACAGGCGGCCTCCACTCGCAGGATCCTCTCCCCTATCGTGAACCCATGAAAGCCCAGCCGATAGAGCCCCTCCAGCTCCTCTGGAATCCACCCGCCCTCCGGCCCCACTGCCAGCAACACGCCTCCTTCCGAGTGCCGCTGCAGCTCTATAGGCGCAGCAGAGAGAGTCGACTCAGCGGACGGGTCGGCCACCAGCAGCCGGGTTGCAGACCGGCTGCTATCAGACGGGTGGCAGAATCGAACTGGCAGGTCGTGCAGCAGCATGGCCCATGACGCGTAGACGTGCACATCGGGGAAGCGCGTAGACATGCACTGCTCGAGACCTATCTGCAGGTCCTCCCAAATGCTGTCAGCCTTGACCTTGGGTGAAGACAGGTACGCCTTGTCCGCACGCGTCGAGCACACGAATATCAGTCTTCCCACCCCCATAGTTGCGGCCGTCTGAAGCACTTTCTCGAACACTTTCGGCCGCGGCAGCCCCACAATAAGGTCGATGAGCGGCATCGGCTCCTTGCACGGCGAATGGCAGTCGAACAGCAGCTTGACCGTGACGCTGCCAGAGTCCATCGCAGTGACCTCTCCTTCGCCCTTGGCGCCGTTCTTGACGCCCAGACGAATGACCGAACCCACCTGCAATGAGTGAATTGAGTGCACTGATGGGAAGGAATAGAGATCAGATGTGTGAGTGTGTGTCTGTGTGCGCGTGTGCATGTGGTTGCTGACCTTGACTTTGAGGATTTCCCGGCAGTGCTTGCCTTGTCTGCCGCTGAGAACCACCATCCCGTCTTGGACAAGAGAGAGATCAACGAGAATCAGATTCATGGCATGCAAAGGGTAGAGGGGCTCAGCACTCAGCTGACGACGACCACAGAGGGGGAAAGAAAACAGGCAGGGAAAGATAAGTAAGGATCGCATTTCAAGCTCGCAAGTGGCTGCCAGAAAATTGGCTTCATGAAACCGCTGCTGCTACTGCCGAGAGGAAAAACCAAACTAAAACACACTGTGACGGACAAGTGCTCACCTTGGTACCACCTTCGAGCGAGCGAAATCATTGAGGCCGTTGCAGCTCTGCAGTGACGACGCTACTATGTGACCGTGCAATCCTATTCGCTCAATGAGCCGTTCAAAGCCGTTTAGGTGGACGGGAGCCTCCGGGCCACTGTTGCGTCTTCTCCGTCGCCCATACTGTCTGTTTGTCCCCTTCAGGCATCGCCCCTCACTTGCTTACCAGGAGGCTGTAGCCCTCCTCGACGACCAGCGCATATTCCTCGTCCAAACGCCCGGTACAGTGGACAGCACAGTAGTGGAGGCAGCCCCGGCAGACCCTTGTGTCGTGTGTGGCTCTTGCTGGCAGGCCCTCTTTCTTTCGTGGTGCAGGACGGTGCGGCTGCGGCTCACCAGCGTCGAGTGACTCATCGCGTGACTCTGGGAGCCAACATCCACTGCACATGCGGCACCGACGAGGGCGAACACTGCCTCCACTCGGTCAGATTCAATCGTACACTCGAGACATCGCGTCTTCTCCTGTCTCTGTTGCACAGGTATACGTGCTGCACAAGGTCCTCCGCCTCCCCCTTGACTCGCCGATAGCATGGCAGGTGGCCTTCACAGACAGGGAGCTCAATCACTTCCTCACGCTCCGCGAGGAGCACCTCAAGGCAGCGCGCGCCCGCGCACTCGAAAGAGCCAACGCAGCCGGAGGCACAACAGCCTCAGCCGAACCGGGAGATGGTGGTGGACATGGACATGATCAGGGGCGCGTCAAGGTGGAGCACAAAGACCGGTGTCCCATCTGTCAGGAGCATCTCGTTCCCCAGAACAAAAGAGTGGGAGTGGAAAGGCAGGCAAGCAGGGAGGGGAAGCGGCCTCCACAGGGAGACGCATTCGCAGAGGGAGAGGGAGAGGGACGGGCTGCTATTGCTCTGGAGGGGTTGACTTGGTGCAAGGGGGGCTGTGGACAGAATTTCCACGCTTCCTGCATGAAGGTGCGCATTGATGGAGACAGTGGGAAGACACGCACGAACGCAAAACTCTTTGCCTTTTCCTGCTCACAGATTTGGGCTCAGCATCGCACTTCGCTAAATGAGGCCATCACTTGCCCAATGTGCAGAGTGGAGTGGTCTCCTGAGGTCTGGCACGCCCTGCTGGACCAAGTCGACCAGCCTGCAGTCACTGCCGGCAGAAACGCCGGCCAGCGGGGTCACTCCCCGGCCCCGCACTTCGGTTGGCGGTGCAGGGGATGTGGCATGGCGCCTGTGCGGGGACCGCTGTTCCATTGCCTTGTGTGTCCGAAGACGCACCTATGCCTGACGTGCTATCGCAAGGCTGGGTGGGAGGGTGAGGGACGGGACGATCGCAGGGGGAAGGGCAGGAAGTTTGAGTGCAACCGGAAGCACCATCCGTATATCGTCAAGAGGACACCAAAGGATTGCTGGCACTCTGCGTCGAGGCTGGCAGGTGAGGTGCGTCGAATGCACACAGGCTCTTTAATATGCCATGCTCATTCCTTGCGCCCGTCGCTGTGTCTCGGTTGTATCCAGCTAATGATGAGGGCGAGGATGGATCAGAGGCTGAAGAAATGTCGGAATATATGCACCATTTCATGGAGGTACGCTGAGAATGACAGGACTGCTGTTTTTCCCCTGCACACCCCTTCATCTCTTTTCAGGCGTTGCAATATCGCGAGGTGGAGCCATCTGACTTCGACGTCCTCACTCTCCTCGCGCAGCAGCCGCAACCAAGACCAATGCGCTACCACCACCCATCACGCAACCGGGATCCCCTTCCGTCTGACCTGGTGGAGCGCTTCGTCGGCCAGCCGCCTTGCCTTGCTCAGCCGGTGGAGGGCCAAGACCTAACGGCGTCAGATTTCGATATTAGAGAGGCTGTCAGCTTCGCCATTCATTCCCAACACTGGGAGCTCGTCTCGGCAGCCGGCAAGGTGAAAGACAAGCCATCAGGAGACAGGGGAAGACCGGTGCTGCCGCCGGTCGCTCAGACGGGCCAACTGCGGAAGCATGCGCTGGAGGTCCGTGGCTTTCTGCCCTCCCACAAACCTGCGGCGACCATCAAGGAGAGTGGCAATCATGATGGGATGGGCGTGTCTCTGGCTGCCATGGCGCGACAGAAGTGTGTCAAGTGCGGCCAGGGACAGGAGAAGACCGGCAAGCTGGTCAGCCTGCCATGTGGACACGTGGTGCACTCAGCATGTCTGGCATCCATGCTGCAAGACAGTGGATGTCAGAACGAAGATGAGACAACCGATGGGGATCATCAGGAGGAGCACCTGCCCTCGCTCCGCTGTCCGGCGGACGGCACAGCGCTGCTACCGGGCTTGCGGGCAGCGTTGCCAAATCGACGACAACAGAGGGAGGCGGAGACATCAACACAGCCGCCGGTCCCCCAAGCCGCCACTGTGAGACCGCCACCTCTTCTTGGTCCCATCATCGTGCGCGGCCGCGGCAATCAGGCTCTTATCCCGACTGACTCCACTCGAGACACAATTTCTTCCCCCTCAAGCAAAGGCAACCAGGAGACGCCCGAGCACTCAGCAGCGGACAGGTCAGGTCAGCATCGGAGCCTGCCACCTCTCGTGCGGGGATCGCATCGCCTGCCCCCTTCGCACACGAGCAAGAGGATACAGCAGTGTGGTGCTGCTGCTGATCCGCCGCCGAGAGAGTGTGTTCCCGCGAACCTGCCGTGTGTGGTTGGTCAAACTGTGCCGTGCCGACCGGAGCCTGACCGCCAAAGAGAGAAGGGCAAACTTCAAGGGCCTCTGCTGCCAAGGATTCCTGTGGGAAAGGGTTATCGGCCACCGAGTGTGAGGCGCGGCCGGCTGGGACGGCGATATGTCATTGCTGCTGAGAAGAGAGTGGCTGGCTGGAAGCCTTGAAGAGGGGCGGGCGGCTGGGTGGATGGATTGGTATGTCTATGTGTGTATCAGTCGCACGACTATCGTATCGATGCACGCTGCATATCGGTAGGTGTGCATATATTTGTGACCGACCAAGTCATTTATTTGACATGCATCATGGAACCGTGGAACGAAATAGGAAAGAAATTGAAGAAACCCCCCAGCTCGGTCAGCAAGGGAACTACGCGCAAGGAAGTCTTTGTGCCCAGGAAATCAGATCGTCCTCGAGCTCACACCACTCACCCTCATCTACTCCCTTTTCACCGCTCTCAGACTCACCCATAGCATCCCCACTCCCGTTCAGCACACCGTTCCCATTCCCGTTCATCGTGTCGGTCGACGACTGTCTCGATGTGCCGTCATGCGATGTAGCGGCGTAGTCTGTCTCCCTTGTGGAGGCGGTGTGGATCATATTCACCGTCCACTGCCGTCTCTCTGTTGGCCTGCCGCTGCCCCGCTCCACCATGCGATCATCACTGCTATTGCTGCAGCTGCCACGGCTCTTCAATGGCCGTGTCTCAGCAGGCTGCTCCTGGGGAGGGGCGGGGGCGGGTTCAGGGGCAGGCGCTGGATGGCTGTCAGGTGGTTCCTTCTTCTCAAGCAGGCTCCTTGCCGCCTGGAAGGCCTCCCTGATCTCTTTCGATGTGGGTGAGGCCGGCCGGCTTGACGGCGAAGGCGCGTCGAGAGAAGCGAAACAGGGGGTCTTCTGCCGAGACGACGAGACACCGTTTGTCACAACAGCCCGCCCCGCCTCTGCCAAGCGCGATCTCTCGGGTGTGAAAGAAAACGACAGCCTCTTCTTCATCTCCGATTGTGGGGAGTCCATTGCAGGCTCTCTGGCAGGTGGCTGTCTGGCTGGGCTGGGCTTGGGATAGAGGGGAGGCTTCTGGGCTGCCGGAGACAGAGTGGGGATAGAGGTACCGGGAGAGAGAGGAACTTCCTTTCCTCCGTGCCCCTGCTGGTCACTGAACACTCGCTGCCACTGCTTGACCCTCTTCTGATGCTCCGTCAGCTTCTTTTTCACCGGCGTGGTCGTGGGATCATTCCTCGTCCTCCTCAGCGGCTTCTTACGTGACGTTATCCCGGCCCTGTCTCGTAGCCTCTCGTGGTCAGCCCCAACCGACTGAGGCGTCCTCGCCCCGCTCGGCACCGACGTGTGCGCAACCGATGGGCAATGCGATGCCGCCTCATGCGCCTTCCTCACGGTCCTCTTCTGCCGATGCACAATGGTGCTGGCCATGTTGACGATGCGCGAGCACTGCTGGTAACACTGCTCCAGCTTGACGTGGGCCTTCTCCAATCGCGCTGCACTGGCCTTGGCCGATGCGGTGTCGTGCAGGCTGTAGGTGTTCTCGGGGATGCCCGCCGCCGCACCAGGCAGAAACCTTCTGACAAGCGGGTCGGATGGCTCATTGCCGAAGTCCATGATGTAGGGCGGGCGCATGGGCATGGCGGCATCGCGTGCAGGGGGATTGGGGAGCGGCGGCAGGAGGCCGCTTCGGGCAGGCTTGTCGGTGCGGTGCGCTTCGTCATCCTTCTCTTGCTTGTTGACCTTCTCGAGCGTGCGTTGCAGTGCCAGCACTCTCGCAAGTTTGAGCTCCTGCCATGGCCCGATATACATTGCAAGGACACTCCCACCAGCTCCCCCCCGTTTTGCGAGCTTAGAATGCCATTCCTCTGCCCTCCCAGCTTTCGAATGAAGATCTGGCTCATCGTTGGATTGGTGTTTGTTGCGCCGATACTGCTGTCCTTGGCAGAGACCGCCGCAACGGGAGATGCAGAAGAGAAGCCGGCTGCTGCAAGGGCTGCATCAAAGGAGGCTGAGGAATGGCGCTTCATGGGCCATGGGTGGCGCTTCTGGGGAGGACTGCTAGTCGGGCTGTGGCTGCTGACTGCTGGCGTGCATCTAGTTGTGGACTACAATCAGTTCCACGAGAGGCGCAAGAGGAGGCTCATGGAGGAGAAGCTGAAATGACGTGATGCTGACTTGACTGGCTGGGGAGCTGGACGGCCGGAGATGAGCATGCGTAGAAGATGGAGAGGCAGACGGACAGCCAGACGGACACGTGTAGCAGTACTAAGTGGATGGGTGGATGGGTAGTAGTATATATGATATTGTGCGGACGGTGGTGCTGTTCGCTTCACGTCCAGGATGCCCTGGTGGTGTGGCTGGATGCAGGTATCTCTGCTGCAGAGCGGAGCAAGACCGCTCTGATGCATGGGTGCCTCTACCGGTCAATGACACCACCCAAGGCATCTTGAGGGCTGAGACGGTGTACAGTGCGTCCGTGAATAGTTCTGCTGTGCATTCGCTGTAGATGTGAATACATACATACATACATATTCATGAACTCTGTTGGATCAGAGATGTGTGTCTGCATTACTGTGGTGCTGCATGAGTGAGTGAACAGAACGAACGCTGTCACGCGTCATCACCCAATGGATAGGATGCTGAGCAAAATCAAAACTGGCGGATACAAATCCACAGAAGTGACACATGTCAACCCACCGACCACGCATGCGCGTCTACATCAGCCTGTCTGTCTACTCCGCTTCATTGTCCGCGCCGGAACCTCTTTTCCCAAATAGCGCCGTCATCAGTGAGTTGAGGGGCCGAGGCGGGGGGGTCAGGTCCTCACCCTCAGCAGAGCTCATGTGTTTATCATCCCTCCCGTCTCTGCCCCTCACACCTGACCGCAGTCTGGACCGTCTCTTCGATATGCTGATGCTCTCCCTATCCTTGGTCTGTGTCGACTGGCTCAGCGACGAGTGCAGGACAGACACTCGGAACCCTCCACGTATCCCGGCAAAGTGTCGGCTGGACTTGCGCGGCGGCCGACGCAGGCTGGCCGAGGAGCGTCTGCAATGAATGAGAGAGATGTGGGAGAGAATGGATAGACATACTGCCAGCATTGACATGCATTCATTCACCTCCATGTGGCCTGTTGCGAGGGGTCGTGGGTCGCGGCGGCACCAACACAAGGTGAGAAATCAGGGGCGCTGTGAGAGCTGCGATCAATACAAGGCAGCTGAACACAACAGAGACACAGTGAAGGTGGCTTCAGAACCAGTGGCAAGCCCCGCCTCTTGCTTCGTACGCTTGCAATGCTGCTAATGTTGCCAGCAGCCCATATGGCATCTTCCATGTCGTCATCGTCGGGAGCGCGCCCGATGACGAAGACACGGTCTCGCTCCTCAATCAGTTCGTTGAGAGGTGGATTGGTCATCACGTAGGGCATCTTGTCTAGATATCTGAGTGCAGCGAGAGGAGACATAATGAGCACTGCCGGACAGAATCACACACCGCCCCGCTTCTTGACGCACCTCTTGCTCGCCAGGGCCATCTTTATGTGGTCGGGTACGGCTAGTGCGGACCGTCTGCTCCTGGTGACCACCTGGATGCTCTTCGCTATCCTCTTGATGCTCGCTCGACCAGCACCTTGTAGATAGCCCGACAACGACGATCGTGTGGCCGCCATCTTGTGACTACTGGCTGGTGTAGACGAGGTCTGATGCTGGTGGTGTGTATCGGGAGACCGCGGGGGTGACCGTGGGGTTGCGTCGTTTGCCGGAGGGTGGGACATGCCGGGATCCGATGAGACATCTAGGTCTGGATCATCGCCGGGGGTCTCGTCGGGCATACGATACAGTCCTATGACCAGCAACTACGCAGAGAACGTGTCAGAGCCTTTCTTCCTCGGCATGTACACGCGCATACGTGCAGACCTACCCCTTTGCGCATCAAATCTTCGGCAAGATTCTTGTACGGTCTGCCTATGTAGGTGTCGGGGATGTGTGCCAGCTGGAACAGGTGCGATCCGTCCTCATCGCCGTAGATCATGCTGTAGAGTACACTGGAAATTTTGGGGATGAAAAAAGACTCTATGACGATGCGATCCACCATGGTGCACGACAACGACTTGCCGCTCGCGAACAGCCTGCTTATGTATGGGGGAGACATGGGATTGTGAACATGGCATGCTCACTCGGTGACCTGGAGAAGGTGAGCGGCGCTGTGTCGAGCCATCTGTTATGCTCTCGACTCGTCCGCTGCTTGTACCGGTCATCCAAAGCACCATGAAAGTATTTAACATTCTGCAGATACACAAAGAGCTGCATGTGTCATACGTTGGATTGGTGTTGGGCATGGCACCCACCTGTCCCTGTAGCAGCTGGCTGGCGATGAAGGTCGTCTCGCCCTTAAGATAATCGGACACTGCCGCCTCAGCCCGGATCAGATACGCCTTCATGATCGTGTTGGTATCGACTGTCTGCAACCATGCAGCCGGGACAGACTTTCTGGGTCATTCTTTGGCTTTACTTGTCATTCACGCACCTGCTGCATTTTGATCTGTGTCTTGCGATCGGCCGAAGCGAAACGCCTGATAGTACGTAATAGACGTTTGTATGTGTGTCAAGCAATGAATTATGTACCTGAGGAACATCTGTACATCGTCACAGCATGTGGCGTGTGACGGCAGCACGACCACCGCTTCAGCCGTGCGCACGCCAGCCTCGAGCAGATCCTTCTTGCTCATCGGTGTGCCGCCCTTTAGCCATATCCTGGACATGACATAAGGAGAAGTGGTGATACTTGCCGCGTCACCTTGTATGGCGTCTCCCTCACCGTTTCCGATCGTTTTGAGAGAGTTTCTTCAGTTTCGACAGGACACGGACAGTAACAGGGTCGGCGAAGGATGTCGCTTCTGCCACATCAAAGGCTGTAGCGGAACGGCGTCTGAATCGCAATGCAGCCAAAATGAGCCACGTGCATAGGCCATCCTTTAGTGCCTGCACCACCTGTCCAAGTGCTTCAGTGTGGGATCGAGGATGACGACATCCTTATCGCGTCTCCGTCCTAGGCCCTCCATGAAAGCACGCAGGTCGCTGGGGATGCCGCACACGAGGACGTGACCGGAGCGCCACCTGCAAAAGGCGGAAACAGGCAGGACAGTGGGTGAGCAATGAAGCGTTCGCCGTACAGCTGGTTGTTTCCCTGTTCTACTTTCGTTCTCGTGGCGGCTGTTCCTTGGTTGGCATGAGCTGCCTCATGTCCTCCATCATCTTGCCACACTGACACACAGGGAGACACAGTGAAGTTGGGGGTCTATTTCTCAGGGAATTGTGCCTGCCTCACATCTCCTCCGTATGCGCGTCCCAGCAGGTTGTACAGCATCCGCTTGGCACCTTCCCGTGACATCCCAGCCGGTGGAAGGGACACACGAACGTGTCCTTCCCCCTGTCCCTGCATGTCTGTGGATGCCTGCATGCTGATGGGCTGCATGGCTGCCCCTGATGGCCTTGAATCCGAGCCCACATCCTGAAAGGCAGAGGTGCTCTCCGACGGATGGTGGGGGTGCACGGACGGCCTCGCAGATACACACATGCCACCAGCATGGGGCTTCTCATCCCCCGGAATGACCTTCTTGGGTTCCTGGACCCACAAAGACACACAGAGGCAGCCAAAGTGTCAGCTCTTGCTTTCCCTCAGTCTGATGCGCATACGGCGTTGCCGGAGTCCCACTGTTGAACCGATCCTTTGTGAGGTCTTGATGCATCGTCGTCGCCAAGGAAAAATGCCGGACTGGAGGGGATGGTCCTCCCAGTCGACGGTGGGGACACAAAGGATGGTCGCCGCTGGTGGCGCGGAAGGGAGGCTGGCGCTGCCGAATGAGCAGGCTGGACGCACACGAGCAGACACACTTGTATCGACGGACTGCAGCTTTCCTCCCCACGTACTTGTATAGAAGGTCTTGCAAGAGAGTGTTCAAGTGAAGGAGACGATACCGTGTCCCGCTCATTCGCAGCCGCGGGTGTTTCGTTCTGTCCGACCGAAAAGCGCACGTTGGGTGACCTGCTGACTGGCGCATCCTTTGGCTTGATGATGCCTCTTGGTATCGGTTCTGACGGCTGGTCATCCTGTTTCTCTGTCTCTGCCTCAATTTGAATTTCGACCATCATGTGTCTCAGTGCATCCTCATCGACCAGCTCCTCGAGAGTCTCTGAGGTTGAGAGCAGAAAGAGAAAGACACGTATGGGTGCACAGCCTTCTGTAGACCGCTTCCTTACCTGTGCAATCTGGGTAGCTGTCAGCGAGCTCTCCGGCGGGCTGTGGTGGCGTCACATCATTGGTGTTGGCCCTCGATTGCGCTGCTTGCTGATCAGCAGGATCAGACACGTCGGCGGAAGACTTCCGGTTGAGCAGTCGCTTTACACCCTCCTTGGCTCTTGCCCAGCCCGAGGGGCGCTGCTCGTTCGGCCCCTCTCTCTCAGGCGGGGGTTCGTTCTCCATGTATGAGCCTTTCTACACCAGACAGCAGCACAAAGGAGGAGCCAAATGACGCTCGGAAAGCTCTTAGTAACATTACCTTCTGCATATTACCTTCTGCATCAGCGAGCTGATCTGGTTCAGTCGCTGCTTGTTCTCTGTGATGACGCACCCTATGTCAGATGCCTCGATCACGTCATCTCGCCTTCCAGGGAACAGCACGAGCCTCTCTTGCTCGCTTTTCTGGAGGGCGAAGAGCACCACCCCATACTGAAAGAGCAGGAAGTGAGCCGCTCGTGTCATTGAGCATCCTATCTGAACAAAAATCAAGAGCGGAGACATTTGTTTCAGGGCTACCGCGTCGCGCCTGTCCATGTTGTGAATCATTCTCATGTCATACCAGGCTGTCCACAATGCCGGAAAGGAAGACGCCGTCGGCCCCGTTGGCCAGGGGCAGCAGCCGGCTCTGGAGCAGCGACGCTCGCAATGGATGGCTCTTGGTATGTTGAAGAGATGGTTGTGTAAAGCGGACTGTGTACATCTCCTGACTTGCCACGACAAGAAGAGAAGCAGGAGCATTGCATGTGTGCCGCAGACTGTCTTTGCTTCTTACGTTGCGCCTTGGTAGTAGCTTGTGAACCACTGGTCCTCGTCCTCGCTAAGCAGATGGCCGCGATCGACATGACTCACCTGTAAGCACATATACACACATGGACACACAGAGAGAGAAAGAGAAAGGGCGAGAATCGCCATCCCGGCGTCTGTGCTCTGTATTTGTTCTGGACCAGGTTCATGACAACCGCTGGCACGCCTCTATTAACCGTATTCAACGCCATCAAGGTGCTCGTGATGGTATCGACCGACACTACCTGAACACACATACACAGCGGAGAGGCATTGCCGCTGGCCAGAAAGACTCATCTGTTGTTTTTGCGCACTGTGTCGTTAGTCTCTTCATCGAGCACGCGGGATATCTGCTGCTGTGTCTCGCGCCGCAGCACTTGCACGCACAGCCGGGGAACACTTAAACACTTCTCACTCGTCATGAAATAGTTCTTCAGTGCCAGCACAAAGGAGATCATCCTCGTGTCCTCAAATGAGTGGTCCGAGGCGTTCTTGTCCACAAACAGGAAGATCGCCTTTGCCGAGTGTGCACAGGTGCGATCAAGGTCGTACTCGCTGTGCACGGACCCTTGGATGAACGACACCATCTGATTGTACGCAGGGTGGTCAAGAAGCTCATTGATGCGCCTGTCGGGCTCGTGCTCGGAAAAAACCACCTGAATGAGAAGAGAAGCGCGGGAAAGCATCACTAGCGTTTCAGCGAAACTTACGATGTCCCGAGGGTTGCTGAGCCTGTCTTCGTGGTAGAATTCGTAGAGGAAAACGTTGAGGGTGGAGAAGTCAATTGCCCCTGCCACTATGCAGTGCGAGGGAGCAAAATTCTGCTCCTTATAACGCCTGAAAATTGACGGGTGCACCGCAGGTCATCTCCATAATGGTGTTAGTCTTGTGTCTCACCTTCGCGTGTAGATGTTCTCGTGTTTGAGCACCTGCACACACACACACACACATATGCGCGTCACTGAATGGCCGGCCAGCCACTGGATGTCGTGTCTGACCTCCCACAATTCCCCCAATTTCTGCGGTATGATGATGATCGACAGTGCCACCACACCGATGATCACCAGCGTCCCGCGCCATGTAGTGCTCTCGATGCTGAAGACCGAGACACAAACACACAGAGACAGGTGTCATCCGAGCGCACGTCTGATGTCTGTCTGTCTCACCGAGGTCTGCCCACGGTGGATATCAGGGTGAAGTAGAATGCCTGGTGGAAATCAACGGCGTCTGCCACGCCCCTCAGGCCCTCTTCCATCACCTGCATCCACACAGGGAGACAGGGTAAGATGACGGAAAGCCGGTCATGAATGCAAATCCCACCTGATAGAAGCCGGCCGTGGTGAAGATCAGAGTGAACGCCGTGAAGACGAGCAGGAATATCTCACGCCAAAGACCGCTCTCGGGCGCAGAGCGTACGATCCTCAAGGCACGCAAGATGCGCAGCAGCCTCATCAACCGGATGAGACGCAGATACGAGAAGTCTCCGTGCGTGTGTGTGGTGTCCCCGCTCGTATTGTAGAATCCCACAAGGAACACCTGGATAAACACCGGGGCTATCTATCACACATTCATTAACCACACACAACACCGTTCGTCATGCCGCCGTCCGGCGTGGTATGTCATATGTCCTTGCATTCCACCGACCGTGAGCACATCGACGATAGCAAAGAAGGAGAACAAGTAGGTCAGCCTGTTCGGAGCGAGGTAAAACCTGCGCAGCAAACGACAGACAAGAGAGTGGCGCCATGAGTGTTTGCTGAGCTAGCTACTGACCGCAGGATGTAATCAAAAAGGAAGCAGAGGCCGACGGTGAATTCCATTGGCAGCCCGAAGACGTCTATCTTGTACGTTTGCAGCTAAGTAACATACAGACAGACGTACAAAGATAGAGTACAAGCCTGTCTCTCTCTCTGTCTGTGTGTTACTCACGACATACGTGACGCAGCTGAGACCACTCAGGACCTGTCATCGACACGCACAACCAACTCATGGCTTCCCCCACCGCACTTCTAACAACCATCCCCACCGTCTGAAGCAGGTCAATTCTGTGGACAAATGGGGGATATCAACCATCGAGCCGAAATGAATGCCCATAAAGATCTGTCTTCGTGCATGATGGCCACCAACCTGTGGCCGAGGTTTGACTTGACATACAGGTAGTCATGGAGCCTCTTTCTCGTCGATGTCTGGCCCTTCTTCGTGACATCGGGGCTTGTGAAGGGATGCGTAGCGATGAGGCCGCAGGCGAGGACCAAACGGCATAGGAGGATGAGCACCGTAACGAGGACCAAATACGCCACCACAACCAGCAACAAGTCCACCTCAGGCTGCATGGAAACACCCCGGCAACAACCACGGCGAAGGAATCTGTGAAGGACGAGTGCTTACAGTCACCTCATTGGGCAGATAGATGTGCGGCGCAATGGACGCCATATATAGTTGCGTGAGGTTGCTTGAGACCAGTGTCCGAAATGGCGGGGTCTCACACTCCCCGCGGGGTCAGAAGTGCAAAAGACCCTGGTTGTTTCCAAGACTGCTTGAGACTGCCAGTGGGGGCCGTGGGGGGCCAAAGACGCCATCATCAAATCAAATATACTTAGCAGTGTCCAAACACCACGTCGTTGGACGCACACCCACACAGATGCATGCACCGCCCCCGCTCTCAAATGCACACGCACACGGATAGAACCTGGTCCACATGCAGATCTAGACACGCATTGACACCGCATCATTCATGCAGTCAGCTTATAGATCAGTAGAAGCAGCAGCAATAGGCAGACGGACGAAGGCAGAGGCATGAATGCACGACTTGCACTCACAGATTCGCATTCGCCACTCTCGTTTTCGGGCGGCATGCATACGACATGAGAGAGGCATCCACGCAAACATGCACCTGTCTGCTCATCTTCAAGCTACGCACGTACGCAACCTCACTCCTGCACAACACAAAAAGGAATCGGGCGAGCAGGACAATCTCACTTTACCACCCACCATGGACCACCTAATCCCCTACACACGACGTGACACCGCCATAGAGCATCAAGAAGATACGCAGGACTACCAAAGTAGCATGTCAACAAAGAGGCACCAATGGCTCATGAGCCGTGTTATCGAGGTGGTCGAGCAGGGGGAACTTGGGGAGGTCCTCACTCGACACTCCTGCCCTCCTGACGCCCCCGGCCCTGGCCAAAGCCCTGTCAGCGCACTCCTGCACATCACACCACACAGGCAGACGGGCCGATGGGCATCGGGCTGCTTAATCATTCTGAGGAATGGAACTCACCTGGTACGGTTGGATGTATCTGAGGTTTCTGTGGTAGCTCTGCACCCACGAATCAGAGTGATGGGCCGACCGATTGATGAGCTTGGTGGCCTTGACCATGCCCTGGAAACCCTTCACGCCTGCACAGACACGCACACATCGGCTACATGTGAAAACCGTCCACATGGTCCGTACGTGCCACTGTCACTCACTCACCGGCGATCTTCGAGAGCAGCACCTGCAGCCAGTGCGGGAGCTTGAACTTGAGGTCCACGTTGGTGAGCGCTTCAATGTAGACGCGGTTTGGGCCAACTGGCTTGATGAGGCAGCATGAGATGGGCATTGTGCCCTTGACCACATGGGGATCATGCCGTGGGAAAGCCTCCGACGGTACGTCAGGATGACCATCGCCGTCTACACTGTCCATGAAGGCCCACGCGCAACCTGTCTCGCGATCTGATAAGGCAGACAGGCAGGCAGGTAGGCAGGCAGGTAGGCAGGCAGGTAGGCAGGCAGACAGACAGACAGGGGCAGGTAGTGTCGAATGACAGACGTGTAGATGCATTTGGATGCGCTAACTCACCCAGGGCGTCATAGTAGTCCAGCACCCACTCACGTTTGGCGAGAAAAGGCATGCTCATCTGTGCGGGAGGGACAGGAATGGATGCGTACATGAGTGTGCGTGCCTACCCCTTCGAACGCACCTGTAGCTGATAGACTCCGAAGACAGGGGTCACGCCCGCGGCTGTCGCCTGGCTTGTCGGCAGTCTCTCGGAGAACGAGGTCATCGGCATCCAATCCTTGATCATCCCTGCTTCACAGCCTGAAAGCAGCAGAAACCGCAGAGGACAACGAAGGTTCGTGAGGCGATGTGATGTGAGGGGAGATCAGAGGCCCACTTCGCGTGCACACACACACACACACACATTCCTGCCTCGGTGTGTTGTGTGGTGTCCGTACAGATCTGGATGACATGGCTGAATGCGGCATCCACCTCGCCACACACCTTGACAGTGGTGGGCCTGACAACACGGGAACGACATGATGTGCAACACCCATGTTCCTTCTCTCTCCCCCTTGTCTGTCTGCTCACCCGAACGCAGCGTCTGTTTCTGTGCGATATGTGACCTTCAGTCCCCTCTCCGCCGGTATGTCCATCCAGCCCTTCTCGCACGTCAGGGTCCGCACGTATGACCGCAGCTGACGCATCTTGGCCACCGTGCGCTGGAAGACGCGACTCGCGTACACCAATTGCCTCGCATGGGGACCCATTTGCAGGAGCGACAGTAGTACCGGGGCGGTCTCGAACAGAAAGCCTTGGGTGTACTGCAGGTCGGCCTCGAGCAAGCCCTTCTGCACGACCATTGCCAAGGATGCAAGCGGCGATGCGATGCCGATGTTGCTCGTCGATGTAGAGGGTGAGATGCCGGGAGGGGTGGAGTCGGAGGACGAGGGAGCTCGGCCAGTGGTGGAGGGCGAGTCATCCTGGCTCGGCAGCCCACCCATCAGCTCCTCCAGCTTGATCTCATCGTTGTAGAGGGCGAACGCCAGGCTCTGGTCCGAAAGCAGAAACAAACAGGGCGAGGAAGGGGGACTGGAGGGGCACGGCTGCCTTCGAGATGACAGCCATGTCAGAGGGGATCTTGATCCCCGAGGAGAGGGGCGGGGGTCGTCATCACTGTGTCGTGAGACCTCAATCCTCCGAGTCAGCTCCATCTGCCTGCCGGTGTCAGATCAGCGTCAGATCAAAAGCCGAAAAAGTGACGAAGGATACGTATGGCGAGGCGCTGGTGAGTGGTGACCGACCTCTCCCCTGCTCCCCTCTCCCTCCTCCTCTTCCTTCGCCGTACGCGAGCTAAGACAGAAGAATTAGGGCAAGATGGGTTTAACGAAACGACAAACGGCCCACGTGTGTTGTGTATGGAGTGCTAATTTGGTGTCCTGGCCTGCCTTGTCCGCTCTCGGAAGCTTCCGGGGGGGTTCATCGCCATATTCCCTTTGAGGGAGGTTATAATGGCTGACAGTTTGCTTGTGAATGCCATCCTCTACATCGTCTTTGCCATCTGGTGAGCCGCACAACAGTGCGCAACGGTGAGGATAATCTCAATTCATGCCCTTCTCTCTTACCTGTCAGCTTTGCGTCGGTGAATCTCCTTCAACTGACGATTCCAGCGTCCTATCAGGTCAACCAAGTGCTGCGGAACAGATTTCTCTCAATTCCCTCGTTGTCGGGCACATTCATCACCAACATCACCAGCACGGAAGGGGTCGGAGAATGGATGGCATCGGCATTTTTGAAGGCACTATATACAGATGAAGAATCGCCGTTTGACATACAGCTGGGCGTCGCCGATCAGAGCCGGCCGCTGCCCACCGTCGGCTTCTTCAACGTGCTGCTCACGACCCGGCTCTCTCTTAAGAGACATCGTGTGGAGAAGAACACATTGGCGCCGAAAGATGTGAAAGGCTTCTATCCGCGGATCATCGGGAGGCAGCGAATCGACCCGAGCACAATGAATCTCAAGTCCTTCTCACTCAAATCACATGAGGACACGGCAAGCTTTGATGGCGCCTCGACAGGCCAGACGTACACTTACTCGCGAGGCAGGGGGTACTCGCGAGCGGGGGGATTCATCGAATACGTCAATCTCGACGGGGGAGAGGCGGCCATGCACCAGAGGATCGAAGAACTGAGAGCGGACGGGTGGTTTGAAGCGAGTCTCGCCAGCTTTGTTGCGGACATGTATTTCTACAACGCCAATCTGCAGAAGTTCTTTCATTTCGCGGTCGTCTTTCAGGCGGCGCTTGGAGGCACGATCAGCCACCAGCTGGAGGGACATGGCTTCACACTGGAGCTCTACGATATGCAGGCCTCGATTAATGTCTTCCGCTTGTTTCTGGAGATTGTCGTCATTGTGTGCTATCTGTATTTTGTGGGTGTGGAGGTAAAGGCGTTTGTTGAAGGGCCTGTCTCTTACCTTCAATCAGGCGTCTTCAAGGCCGTTGATGTGAAGAGAAACAAACAGTGGTCGAGACGTGTGTCATTCTACCCGTTGTGTTCTCTTCAGGTTGTCCAGCTGACGTTGAATGGCATCTACATTAGCATGCATATCTTCATGATTTCCCAAAGGGCATACTGGACGCTCAAGTTGCCTATCGACCAAAACAAGTGCGGATGGACGTCACAATATAGCATGAGGACATGTCTGTCTGCTCATTTGCACGATTCGTCATCTGTGTCTTGCAGCTTGGAGTCATCGCTTGAACAACTGGATGCTCTACTGACGTCTGCGTCGCTCAACTCGCTTGTCGGTCAGCATGGGATACCCTTCTGCTCTCTTTTGACATATCCTACTTTTTCGTGCAGGAGTGAACATCTGTCTGGTGTTCTTTCGTACGCTTTCACTCATGTCTGATGTATCGCCAACGTATGGCCTCGTCATCAACACCATCGGACAAGTAAGCAGGCAAAGTAGGCCGCAACCTGACTGGCCTTCGCATTCTTGGTCCAGGGTGCCGGCAATCTGGTTTGGTTCAGCTTGATGTTCTTCATCATCTTCTTGGGCTTCGTCTGGTTCGGCTTCTTCACCTTCGGTGGCCAGTTGGCGGCGATGGGCACGTTCAATCGCACCGTCCTTGCCTGTTTTACCATGCTGCTCGGCAAGAGCTTCTATCAAGAGATGATGGAGATCGCCCCAACCATTGCGCCGATCTATTTCTATTCCTTCGTCACGTTCTTCGTCTTCATCCTGCTCAATATGTTTCTCAGCATCATCATGTCTGCCTACGACCTTCAGATATATCGGTGAGCTGGATTGGCTTGGAGACATGGCACTCGCTGCCTGTCGATGATCTTTGGCTCCTGCGTTCAGCATCGAGAAGATGAGTTTGGGTGAGCGTGGTGCGCTGACCAAGGTCATCAAGGAGCTTGGAGGATATTTGTCGAGGCGATTTGCTTGGACACGGCCAGCATTCAGAATTATTGTGAGGAAGGAAAACACGCGACGGGCGGATATGTACATTGAGATTGTCTGATGTGTAGAGTGTTCTTTGCAGGCCCAAGCCTCGCAGCGCCGCAGAACTGGCAGAGGCAAGAGAGGTATTAATGGATGTATACCACACAAGTCAAAACAAGTCGTCCTGGCTGCATTCGTCCAACTATCAGCAAGCTGAGAAGATCCGTGCGAAGCGTCAGAGCCGCGAGCAGGTATGCTCTATCGACTGCTTGGGAATACTCGTATTTATGGCTCTCTTCATCGCCATAATTACCATACAAGTAGGAATGCGGAGAAAAGATACAAATGCTGACACATCCGACCAACTTTGCTTTGCATTTCATTCTCAGGCACGTACGACATCTTCGTATCGGCTGATGGAGGTGCAAGACTTCGTGATTGAGCGGCCACAATGGCCCAGCAGCCTTAACCCGATCAATCCCACAACCAACCAGTCGCTGTCGAGAGATGTCAACCATGCATCAATTGCTATTATGGACCACATTTACGAATGGACGGTGGCTGCAGTTGGGAATGAGTTGTATCGAAGCGGCGATGTGCGTGATGTCGATGCTAAGTCCTCACGACCGCCACGTGGGAACTCATTGGAGTCAGTGTATCTGAACCGGTATTTCGCTTGGAACGTTGGCTTCATGCCGGTACTCAGGAGCGATCGACTAGGCCGTTTGATGTCTCTACTTTGGCCTCTGTCTCGTCGCAGGAAGCTTTTGTCCGGATGACCTTTCAGCCTGCGTGTTACAAAGAGCTAACGGAGGTAGACTGACAGACTCACGACGCAGATGCACATCTTCTTCTGTCTGCGTGAGTACAGTCGCGTTGGCGCGGTGCGTACCCTGTAATTCGCGTAACTCGCAACGCCTTCTGCGCTGACAACAAATGCGCTACGAAGCACCCATCAAGCTGTCCGTCGGATGTCTATGACCTCAGCGACAGCACGAATCTGTCGGCTGCATGGTATTGCCTTGAAGGCGGTCATTGCTCACACACTGCACTCTTCGCTTGCTTCAGGGGCGATGCGTATCCCGCCGAATCGATAGTGAAGTTCAGTTCAGCGCGCAATACTTATAGACAGAAAGGCGGCTTTAGCGTCAGTCTCGGAAAGACGCAAAAAGAAGCACTCGAGCGAGTTGGAGCGTTGAGAAGAGCCAAGGTCCATGAAAGTCTGGCCCTCACCGTTGGTGCATACATAGGCTTTGTGGCATCACTCTTGTGCCTTCCTTCATTTGGATGCAGGTGTTCTCGGCCCGCACGGCATCGATAGTATTCGATTACGTGACATACAATGGCAACGTCGACATGTTCACATACAATACGGCTCGATTTTCGCTAAGGGCCAGCGGCATGATACAAGTCAAGAGGTGCAGCGGCAGGCGCACACGACACTCTGGGGGGTGGGGGGGGAAGGTTGCAGTGTGGACGTGCGTATGGATGTCTGTGCTTGGCCTGTAGGTCCAGCCAGTCCTTCCCTCTTAATCCGTACACAGGAGGTGGCTGGTACCAGCCTTTGCGCATCCTCACTGCCGTGCTAGGGGCGGTGTACGTGTTGTTTGTGATCTACTACATTGTCAAGCTGGTCAAGGAGATTCAAAGGCACAGGATTATCTGCATTGCGGAGAAAGACGCCCGTGTCAAGTGAGAGAGGACAAACGAGACCATGAGCGCCTGCAATGTCTCTCGCGTTTTCCGTTGCAGCTACGTGGTCGATTTCTACCGATCTGATGCATGGAACATTTCTGATGCGGTGTCTCTCTGTCTGTCTGTGCTTACCATCGCATACTACGCCAGATTTTCGCTGGATGGATTCTGTCTCAGTAAGTGACAGGCGGTGCACACACATCCAGGCGACGGGCGGTGCTGCTTGGCTTGTGTGTATAGCATACAACTGGACTGACTGGACTATGGCTGATACTGTGTTTCGGACGCTCTCGTCGCCAAGAAAGGAGTCCATCAAAACATACGTGCTGGACCAGGTGAGTGCAATTGCGCAGAAAGCGGTAGTGGTAGTGGGGAAGAGCGCTCCTCCCCTACTGTGCCTGTGTGTAATCAGATGGGCAACATTTCACGTGTCTATTACATGTTTCTGTTGTTCGGTGCCTGTAATACATATTTTGTCTCCATCCGCGTCCTTAAATACCTCAGTAAATGCCTTAGGGAGACACCGACGCGTTCCTCCTAAGGCAGCAGCATTCACTTTTACCCTGTCCATTCAGATTTGATCCCCCAGTTGAGGCTGCAGACAACGACCATCCAGGAGGTGGCCAACCAAATAATTACCATGATCATCATGCAGGGGCTGCTGTTATTTGGTAAGCGACCGTCAAAACAAAGAGACAAGTAGAGAAGAGACAAGTGGAGAATGGACCTTTATGAAATCGGTCAAACAGGATTCGCCATGCTGTTTCATGTGAAGTATGGCTCACATCTGGAAGAGTTCAGTACATCTGGAATAGCTTTCCTCACCCTCTTCCGGTGAGCGCAAAATATACGGACACAAAGCAATAATGAATGGTGTACCATATATGACGCGACTTCAGCTTTGCGGTTGGGGATGTGCAAGTCGATCGTTTGTACGAGGTGGACGCGGCCTTCACGTTGGTTTTCTTTATCTTGTACATGACCTTTTTCTACTTCATCATCGTCAATGTCTTCCTCGCGGCCATCATGTCCAAATACTATGTGAACGAATCATGAGGAGATTGCAAAAGATGTATTTGTCTGTCGGTTACCTGTGTTGCCCGTGTTGCTGCCCATATTCAGTTCACGTACATCAAGTTTGAAGACTCAGGCCAGCTGCGAAGCTTGGTGGACTACTGGAACGACGCCAAGGACATATTCAACAACAGCCCCATAGTCGAATCAGCATCCGACTGGCTCAAGAAAAGACGCCAGGCACTGAGGAAGGCACTCGGGTGGGCGGAAGACGCCACACGCATCACGTCCTTCCTCTGCGTGATGCTGCTTGCCTACATTTCTTTTGAAGCTACAAAGCTGAAGGGGTGCCATCTCATCTTCGAGCAGTTGCCGGCCACTCAAGGACAAGGATGGGCGACCTCCAGAGACGGTCGGCCTTTAGCATCCTGGAGAGACAGGCAGACAAAGTGGGCTATGGGACCACGAGGCCGAGCCAGGCTCCGTCCCGTCCAGACACCCGTGACAGCAGAACGAAGGACAGAGGGGAAGACGAATCGGTGAGCATGGAAGCGCAGCAGCTGCAGCACCAAGATATTCATTGTGACTGCAGGAGGGGATTGAAGGTGACGGGCAGAACGAGATAGGAGATGACCCTCTGGCTGGAATGACGATCGAGTCGAGGTTCACGCATATCCGTAAGCTTGCGGTCGGCAAGGAGACGGAGCAACATATGAAGAGCATCAAAGATGTCAAAGATAGAAGGGCTGACGATCAAGAGGACATAGAAGACCGTGAAGCCTTACAAGAGATACCCCCCGATGAGTTCTGGCTGGACGCCTTGATCACCTCCCTGGAGGGATATCGCGGGACATACTTGCTGCGGGAGGTGTGCGAGCCGCCTCCTGAAGACTCATTATGGGGCGACAAGGGGCAGCAGAAGATAGAAGAGCAGAGGAGACAAGTCTATGAAGAAAGGTCTTGAAGGGGGGACGCCCACGCCCTTGCTGACTGACTCTCGCTTCGGTGCGTGCAGGGTTGATCGAGTGCATGACCTGCTCCAGATGAAGGCCAAGGCTCAGTACCACACAAGCGTAGGGAGGCAATCCGTACTCAAGCAGAGGCTGGTCAAGCACCAAACGGCAATTCTCAACCAGTGAGAGAGGCCGCATCTGGCCGTGTCTCAGCTTGTTGGCCCCATGCAGTCTCTGTCTGTATTCTATGTCCGTACAGCTACTCGTGTGAGTTGGAGCGTAAGTTAGCCGACGTTGAAGCCAAGATCGCCTCGTACGACCACATACGGCAAGAATACATCAGACAGATGGAGCCCATGCTTGACAGGTATTTTCACATCTGTGCCTGTGTGTCAAAGGGCCTAAATGTCCTGTATGCATGTCGTGTTTTCAGCGCTGCTGCCGATGTGGCAGCTTCCTAGCTGCCCCATCCTGAATGACAAGGGACCGTGAAGGCGTCTGTGTCTCACGGACATCCGTCATGTAATATCAATCTCTGTACTCACCGGCCTGTCTCCGACGGACTGAGTGAATGCGTAGTCCGTTAGCTTGAGATTGAGTTCTTGTAATCCTTTCCGCAGTTAGTGACTTCGTAGATTGTGAACATGGTAAGTGACCCGATGGAGCACGAAGTGTAACGCCATTCATCCGACAGCTCATCAGCACGCAGAAGTCACCGTCTATCCACACACACGCGAGCCTTTCGTGAAATTCATTCACCCATCCACTACACACATCCTCCCTGCCTAGCCCTCTCACTCATCCATCTCGCCAGCCCCCCGCAGGCACTCTCAGAAAGGAGCTCGATGACGGCAGAGAGGGCGACGAATCATATATGCCACCGCTAAATCCACCGCCATGCCGGTCGCCTGGATCGGCCCTCCTCCCTCCCGCCTTGCCCGCAGCAAAAGGGGTGCTCTTGGTGCTGTCCCCGAAGCGGAACGGTCTTGATTGCCGCAAATCTATCTGCCGCACCTCGGCTGTCTCTGGCTCTCTCCGGCGTTGGGTCATGGGTGAGCTGGGGGGGGGCGGCCTCTGGAAGACGCCCGATCGGGCACTGGCGAGGGCTGGTGGGGGAACACCTTGTAGCTGGGCAGTGCTCGAAGAGGCTAGCAACGGCTTGCGAAGGCCGACAGACGGGCTGCGGTGTGGCCCTGTGCTCGGATGGTCCACTGCCCTTCCTGCTGTCAGCTGGAAGGCGGCAGTAGTGTCAACTGCAGGCTGGGGCTGGCTCTTCCACTCGAGCAGAGCCCTCCTCTCCTCCGCCACGCTGTCCTCGACTTTCGCGGCTATCACATCCGATCGTGTCATGATGCCCTCCTTGCCGCCACCATCGCGCCAGCCGCCCTTGCAGTAGTCGGCGTACGATGGCGGATGCACGTCAGCTACCCTGCCAGCACCACCACCCGACAGAGGCGAGGGCCGCCCACCTCCCCTGTCCGTCGACCCCGACCGATTCGCAGTGGACGAGCCGCCGGTGCCGCCCATCATTGGCTTGCCAGCGCTCGCTGGACGGGCCTTTGGGTCGGTGCTGGGAAGTCGGCTCCTGCTGCCACGGCTAGAGTCTTGCCTCTCCCCCGGGAGTGTGTCAGTGTCCTGGGTGCGGTGTCTGAGGCGCGAGCCTGATGCTGCTCGTGCGAGGGATGGGATGAAGGTCGAGCGATGGGACCCATGGCTGAGGGGGGAGGGGGCGATGGGGCGAGGCAGAGGGCCTTGACCACCCTGAGGGCAACAGGGGAACGCACATGAGACGGGCAGCATCGCTTATTCTGATGGCTGGATGCAATTAGTGGCGGCTTGTCTGACCTTGAGCCGCTCTATCTCCCCAAGAAGGGACTGGATCACCACGGCCAAATCGCCAACACAGCTGAACTGCGCACACACACGCAGACACGCCGCGTGTGTCCGGTTCGATGAATGCATGTGCCTGTGAGCTGACCTCAAAGTCCATGCCGAGGCCATTGAGTCCACCGCGCCCCGTGCCGCCCCTGTCGCTCAGCAGCTTCTCCAGGATGGTCTCCTTGTGACCGCTACGCTCAACACGATCCAACACCTGAACGTGCACACACAAAGCAAAGAACGCACTTGTGGCCAATTAATATATTGTGACGTCCATCCATGCATGCCGGCTTACATCGGAGAGTCTCCATATCTTTTCCCCCCTCCGCTTGCCCCCCCTCTCCCTCCTATGCGTGTGGGGCCTCTGAGCACCCCGCCTCTCCTCTCCCAGCAGCCCTTCGAACGACGCGGGCGAGTCACCATCCCCGTTGCCGCCGTTACCCTCTGGCACAGCCGGGCTGCCGTCGCCATCGCGTGCCGCTGCCGTGCTGTTGACCTTTGGCGGAAGCGTGTCGTCGTTGTTAAGCATGGGTGATGGGACGCGGTAGAAGGTCTCACATGGGGGGCTGTTGCGGGTGGTGGTGCTCGGGGAGGGGATGGGGGCGGGATGATCGTCGTCTGCTGCACGGGCGGGTGGGGGAATGGGAGCGGCCTCAGAAGACGAGACTGGGGGCCTGAAGCAAGCAAGGGAAGAGTGATAGACAGTGCGAGGCCGTGCAGGCGCTTACTGTGTTGGCTTTTGGTTGTTGCTAGGCTGTGTGTGGTTGTCCTTGTCAGCGTCGGTGTTGGAGATGGTGTTGAAGTTGGGGTCCTCAGCACGAGCACGCAGATACGCATTCTCGGCCTTCAGATCCTGACATGCAGTCACACAACCACCACACACATAATGCCCATGTGCCGGCACACATGGCAACACTCCCACACACACCTGATTCTCCTGCATCAGCCGGTCGACCAGCCTCCTCAAGTCCACCGTTTCGTTGATGCGCACGTCATTGGAGAGCGCCGAGCACCGCTGGGCGAAGCGAGCAGTGGATATGGTCTCCTCGAGGCATGACATGTCGACTGACATGTTGGCAATGACGTTGGTCTTGCAGTTCCCGCCGAGGGAGTCGCGCAGGATGGACGTCAGCATCGAGTTGCGATATGGGATGTGCGAACTGACAGACACACGGACGAGGAAGCGCGTGAATGGACGGAGGGATGTGTGTATGGTCGCAATGCATGTGCCCTTACCGAGAGCCTTTGGCCTTGTCCTGCAGAGCGACTATCACCTGCCACGTGTGAGGTGAGCACAACGAAAGCACGTGTCTGTTAAACGCTCTGTCTGTTGGTTTGCGGTGCTGCCTGCCTGGCTGTGTCCATCTATAGGTAGGTACGTACCTGCTCTAAGAAGTGAAGTGAAAGGTTGATGTACTTGGCCTCGTTGAGCATCGCACCACCCAAACCCATCTTGTGCACCCTGATTGATGGGATTGATACATACATACATACATGTGACAAGGAAGGAAGGCACGAATCAGTCACATCCATCCATCCATCGATGGCCAGCTCACGGCTGGCTGTGTATGTTTATTTGGTTGATACCTTTCACTCCCTGCCAGGTCGACCAGGTGCAGCTTCGAGTAGCGCACCACATGCTCGTTGTCGCGAGAGCGACCCTGACGGCATATATACACACACCCACACCCACACCATCCTTCCTACGTACGCGTCACGGCATCTTTTCTTCTCCCTCTGCTGGCTGGCTGGCGTGTGTGAGTCACCTCAATAGCAATGGTGAATATGCAGTGAGATCTACTGGACGCCTCATTCATCTGCCGGCCCGACGCCCAACAGGACAAGACAGAGAGAGGGAACAGGCACAGACAGACACATGATGGATGGATGTATCGGCTCTCAGGCCTCTAAAGGGATTAACTTGCCAACCGGAGTGGTGGAGACCATCCTGTTGGCGATGCCCAGAAACAACACATCCAGCCCCTCACGAGTGCCACCAACCTACACACCAACACACACACACACATCCATATACACACAGTAGAGTGGGTTGTGTGTGCTGTGGGGGGTCAGCTGCTGTGCTGCGCTGCTCATACCTCCCTGAGTGTGAGGCCTCTGAGTCTGAGGTTGGCGGTCTCGTCCTCGAAGCAGTTGATCTTTGGCCACTGCTCTATCGGCACCTGACCCTGACCCTCCGCCAACAAATCGTAGCTGATATAGATAGGGCATCCGCATAGACACACACACGACAGAAGGACAATTGGGTGCGTCATCCTGTGCGCACGTCGATTCGCTGCATAGTACTGACATGCGGACGGACCAGTTTTCGTTGTATATTTCGATGAAGGAGACCGACACGCTGTAGAGGGTGTTCTGCTGACGATTCTTCAACTCGTCAAACAGAGCCTGCCGCGACACACACACAGTGCACACATACCTACCACAGTTCCCGTGCTGTGCTGTGCTGCTGGCCAGCTCCCCCACCCACCTCTAGGCATCTCGGTATGAGCCCCCTGTTGTCGAACGAAGCGTCGCCCGTCACTGCGTAGAAGAACGAACAAGGGCAAAGAAGGAAGGCAACACACATTAATGCATCGCTTGGACCATCTTGCCACGCCACGCCACGCCACGCCTGGCACGTACTGGTGTGGGTCTTGCCGCTCGCAGTCTGCCCGTAGCAAAAAATCTGCATGAGGGACATGAGATGGACGCTCAGACAGGGGCTGTCTGCCTGTCACCCTTGCCATGCCCCTGCTCCCTCCCTCCCTCCATCGCCCGCCCGCCACGCACCGTTCCGTTATAGCCTTCAATGCAGCTGAGCAGGACGGGATAGGCAACCCTCTCAAACACGCTGGACTGATCTGGACGCACACACACACACATACACACACACACGCGTGTGTCGAGTGCATGGCATGTGCACTGCATACACAGTGCATCCCTGTCCGCTCACGTACTTGCACTCTCGTCAAAGACGCCATGAAATGAGAAGGACAGACTCGCCTGCAGTGCAGACAGACATGCACTGTGCATCTCCTCCTGCATGACTGGACTGGGCACTCACTGCAGCGGATGTACCGTCCGTCCCTTCATCCATCAACCTGCTGACTGCACTGTACCTGGTTCGACGCCGTGGATGCGGGTGGTATCTCGAATGTCAAAGAGGCTGCTGGGCTGCAGGCGCCGCTGCCGTTGGATGGAGAGCCGCTGTCGCACACCTTGTAGCGCGCCACATGACGACTGCATGTACCAAATACAGAGAAAGAGAGAGAGAGAGAGAGAGAGAGGGCAGAAGCTTCGATGCATATATCAACACACAGCGACGAGTTGGCTGTGAATTGTCACCTGGTTCTCGGCCTGAGGCGGGCGTATATTTGAATCTGCGCCTTGACCATAGCTCTCAAACTAACTCACCGTCGGTGCCCTGCCCTCTGCAGTGCTAGATAGATGGAATGCAGCCGGAGGAGGCCGGATGCTATGGAGAACCGAATCCAACATATTCACGTATGTACTCGCTACGTCGCCGTCTTTGCTGTGTGCCGATTTCCAGGTTCAGGGTTCGTTCGGCTTTAGGGCTCAAGTGCCGAAGGGTTTTTCCCTGCTCCGTGTCAGCCATCCCCTGGCGGGATGGATATAGGAAGAAATTGTACCGTCGAGGTACGAGAAAGATGCACCCATCGGGTGGATGAGATGCGAGGGCAAGCGGTTGACTGGACTGCCATGGGATGTGTCTGTCTCGTGAAGCGTTTCGGAATACATGCATCGCATCGCATCGCATCCACCCACCAGCACCATGCTATGCTGTCCATCTGCGTGTGAACAGGACAGAGGGAGACGGAAGGCGGGCAGGGCAGGCTGACGCACCCACCCACCCACTCACTCTAGTCATCTTACTCACCTCTCTCTCCGAGCGCCTAAACCCGATGCATTGGACAGACACATGTATGCCACAGCCCTCCCTCTCCATCAGAGAGACCAGACTGCACTTCATTCACTCACACCCCACCGACAAACAGCACCAACACAAAACAAAATCGCTCACGGACAACACAACATGGAATGGATGTGTGTGCGCATCGATCCACCCACCACCCGGCGAATCGACGATCATCAATCCTGACTGACGGGTTGAGCTGATCAATATGACTGACTGTACAGGATACAGACTCAGATAGATATTCATCGAGGGAGACAGACAGATATCTAATATGGATGTCCTTGCTTCCCCCCGCCACCCCCACTGCCTTTGCACAAACCTGACTGCCACCTGCCCACCCCCCCACCCCCCCGCGCAAAACTCGTCCATGTCTGCTGCATCCATCATGAAGTTGGCACGTCAGCAGTAGCAGTGGTGAAAGGGACGCCCCGGTTGAGCAGCCCCTGGTACTGCGCCTCCCTCGACCACCGCTCCAGCTCCTGTGCCCTCAGGACCGGCAGCGGGTGGGTGGACCTCAGTGCCACAGCCTCGCGGAAAAGACGGATCAAAGGCGCACGCTCCAACTCGTCTAGCGCCTTGGCCTGCATACACCCAACACACAGGTGACATACAGATGGCATTGATTGGTGTCTTCCAGATGTACAGTGTGTGTGGAGGGGCGGGGAGGGGCGCGGTGCGGTTGGGACTGACTGACCTGTGCGAGGAATTCATCAACATCCAGCTCGTTTGACATGGACGCACTCCCGCCAACCAGCTTGAGGAAGGTCGACACCACCACACGCACGTCCTGCGTCAATCAACACGACAGACATAACTCATCGATAAAGATGCGCTGCTCTCTCATCTATGTCCCACTCACTCACTGACTCAGTCACCTGTGCTACAAGTAGTGCAGCCCTGTCGCAGGAGAACTCTGCGGCCCTTGACCACCTGAGAGTGGCCAGCTCGAGTGCTGCCGCCAGTCGCCGGCCCACCCGGCCGCCGAGCGAGTCGAGAATGAGTTGAAGCAGCCCCGACGAGAGTGCGAAGATGCCGTGCTCGCACTTGAGGTGACCCAACTCGTGAGCCAACACGGTCTGCACCTCAGCGGGCGTCATCAGGTCAACCAGGGAACTGTGCACCACGATGAACGGCCTCCGACCCTGCCAGGCAGATCAGATCATGTGGATGCAGTCAATGAGACACGCACGAGTGACGTGACGCTACGCTGCTGGGGCTGGGTTGTGCTTTGCTTGCTTTGTATGTGTGTGCTGTGCTGTGCAGGCCATCGATGGATGTTCCACACTTACCTGTATTGCGACAGTGTATGCATTTGGCTGTGGGTTTTGCCGCACGTAGAGGTCTGGCATGTCCTTCATGTCGAGTATCTCACACGCCTCCTTGAGCAGAGCGTGCAGCCGGGGCATCTGCTTGGCCGACACCTTGACGGACGACGACAAATTGTCCAGCAGCAACACATCCTCAAGCACCGCACTGACATGCCCAGTCCATGCACACACACGCACATCCTTGTGTGGTATGCGTGAAGCGCGCTGGATGTGTGATGTGTTTGTGAGGGGCGCTCGGCTTACCTGAACAAGAATCTGATGCCCTGCTCGACGCCCCTGACGGCCCTCACTTGGCGAGAGGCCTGAACGTCCAGAGGATGCTGGAACCGCTCCGCCTTCAGAAAAGGAAACTTGACACGGCCGTCCTCCGGCAATGGCAATGAAGACACAGAGGGAGATGAGGGCAGTGCGGCGGTCTCCCTGTGCACGCAATAAAGCAGCGCACATCTCCCTCAAGGGCGTTGTTGCTCTGTGTACATGACCGCACTCACTGTGTTGCGATAGCGGCTGTAGCTGAAGCGGAGAGGCGAGCAAGGCGTGACGCATAGCGGCGCCTAGACGGCTGACGCACCTGCAGCCATCAACCACCGCAGTGCCGGACAACACATAGATAGCCAGACAGACCGACAGGCGTGCCGACATTACATTGCGTGCAGTGACGACACACTCACCGGAGCAGTTGCGCCGGGTGTCACACCAAGGAACTGCTGCATACTGTCCACGAGAGATAGTGCATCCCACCCACTCTCTTCCTCCTGCTCTTGATCAGCATCAGCTTCGGCCGCCATGAGGTCCCCCAGAGCATCGCTGATCCCGCGAGTTGACAGCTCATATATGTTCATCTGTGACAGGCAGCCGCCGTCGTCGACAACATCGCACACCTGTGACGCCCCACACTCGTCGGCCTGCAGCTGACTGCAGTAGGCGTCCACGCCATCGACCAGCAGAGATGTCACAACCGCCTCCCGTCGCCTGCTGTCTTGCTCCAGCACGGCAGCCTTGCTCAATGAGACGCATAATGACGCCACAGTCACAGCAACAGCAAGGATGCGGGATTGCACAGCCATGGCCGATGCAGCAGCGCCCAAAGAAGATGAGGTGACGGCTCTATGGCGTTGCTCGTCCCAGGGACACAGGGAGATGAGGCAGATCTTGTCGGTACCACTGGCGTCTAAGCTCGCGCTCTTAGGGTGGTGATCGTTAGGGTTATCGTTAGGGTCCTCCCAGAAACCGCTGCTGCAAGGAGAAGCAGGACTTTCTTTCCCTATCCACCTACTACAACTTGAAAATAACATGGATCCTCCACCGGTACCACACGCCGCGAAGAGAGAGCCAATATCATCAGAGAGCAATTGAGTGTCACCCATCTGTTGGCTGTGGCCCTCTCTCCCTCGCTGTGTTTCCCTCCTGTGCTTCAGAAGTCGTTTTCGAATGCAGTGGCTGCAGCAGCAGCAGCAGCTGCTGCCGTTGTCAACGGCGATGCTCCTCGCGACGGTGTTGGTGGGAGCGTGCAGGTCAAGGAGGAGTCCCACCAGAGTCCCCCGGTGCCGCCCGCCCTGCCTTCTGCCACACAGCTCCCACTCGGGTCTCGAGGGACGGCAGACCTCTACCAAGACAGGGATTGGAGCGAGCGGCGCGTGCAGGAGTGCAGGAGAATCAAGAGGGAGCTGTATCCCGACCCCAAGATCCGGCTCCCGCCACCCAAGCCGCCCCGAAAGGACTTCTACGTGTGCCGTGAGGCAGATCCCATGGCCCACACCCTCAACTCACCACGGGTGGGTGAGGGAGGGAGTGGCCATGCCATGACGCACGCCACTCATGGCCAGGCCGGAGTCACGAGCAAACATGTGTGTCGTGTCGTCTCGTGCGTTGCCTCTCATGCGTGTCACAGGTCCTGACGGACGTCAACCCGCTGGAGCTGACGTGCGAGGCCCTTCTCGACACCCACCTCGCACAGAACCCCCAGAGCGACTTGGTGCGGTTTGCCAAGGCCCGCAAGCAGGAGCTGCCGCAGACCAGGCCATGCGCCGAGTTCCCCGAGGGCTGCCGCAAGTTTCTGCTGGGTCCGGTGGAGGTGGGGTGCGGCAAGAAGGAGACGCGGACGCTGATGATGCCAATGCAAGTCGAGTGGCCGGCGGAGTGTGCGCCGGAGCGGGAGGTGTCCCTGGCCAACAGGTCCACCACATGGTGCCACGACGAGTGGCCCGCACCCTTCGCGGATGCCACCCTGTCCCTCTGCCTCGTCAATGTCTACTACTGCCTCACCGAGACCCAGCTGCTCAGAGAACTCCTGTAAGCAACCACCCACCCTCGGAGGGGACAAAGAACGGGATGGACACCCACAATGAGCACACACGTGATGAACCGATCGGTGTTGTGGGGTCCTTCCCTTTCTCTCTCTCTGGATGTGTGTGCCTTAAGGTATCATTTTCTGGAGGTGCGGGACAAGAACATTCGTCTGAAGCGTCAGTTCCCCGACGACAGTCTGCGTGAGGAGGCCAACAAGTTCCTGGGCATCACGAGCCTGACCCTGATGGAGCCCCAGGACAGCCCCTACTACACTCGCCTCACCGACCCCCGGGGGCCCCGCATGCGGCTCGAGACCAACGTGGCCCTCCTGACCTTCCGCAAGGAGAAGCGCTGCGGCCGCTTCTTCAGCCACATGCACGGCCGCAAGCTGGAGCTCTACCGCTTCCGCATCACGCCACACCCTGACCCCTTTCAGCTGCTGGCACCCGCTCGACTCGTTATGGCCAAACTCGAGGCCGACCGCAAGTTTGGAGACAAACAGGTGGGTGCGGTGCCCCTCATATATGTCACACATGAGTCAGCCAAGTAGCCGTGGGTGGGTGGATGGAGAGTTTCCCGCTCTGTCTTGTGTGTGTTAGGAGCGTGAGGAGTGTCAGGCACGGGATTGCATGATGAGCGCGCCGGGTCTCCCTGCCGAGAGGATTCCGGTGTGGCGGTGCGAGGAGCGGAAGGCCGACGCACTGGTTGGGCTGCTGCCGACCATCACCGACAGGCAGCAGGTCAAGGACATCCTCGGCCTCTACGTCAGGAGGAGAATGACATACGAACTCAGAATCACTAACTTCAAATTGACGTGAGCCAAGGGAGGGACCGTGCAGACAGACGGGGAGAGAGGGAGGGCCCTTCATGTGATGGGCAGGCAGATTGGACGCCCGTTGGTCTCTCTCTCTCTCTCTGTGTGTGTGTGTGTGTCAGGTATCACCAGTGGCTCAAGATGGGTATCTGCATCGCCGAGGACAGCAGCACGGTGGATAGGATCATCAACACGGATCTGTTCCACACCGTCCAGCGGGGCGTCGGCCGCGCCACCATCGTCGCCATCGCCACCATGCACATCTGGGACCCCACACACCACACCCGCTCGCTGCAGGACGTGCCCTTCGTCTTCTTCCAACCCACGCCCGACGACATCACCCGCCTCGACCTCCCGCAAGACTCGTGTGCCGCTGCCGCATCCTCGGGTGCCGACCAGCTTGTCAATGGTGTGACCAATGACGAGGGGTTCAAGGTGCCCGACATCCCCCAGGAGGCCATCAGTGCCACCGCCAATGCCGCATCGGCCGACTCGGCGTACATCACCCGGTGTGACGAGCCCTCATCGGACGAGGACCTGGGCCTTCCGTGGTCTCGCCGCCCCGCCCAGCGCGAGCTGTCTGTCGACGCCCGCCGATCCATCGAGTATCTGTCGCAGCCGGGGTCCATTCGGCCCCCAATGGACGAGCCGGCCGTCGTCTGGCCCCCACCCAAGAAGCGTGTGCCCGAGGAGAAGGCGAAGGAGGAAAGCAAGAAGGAGGAGCCGGCCGCTCCTGCGCTGGCCGTCCTCGCTGCCGTCAAGCCCAAGCCCAAGACGACTGCCGTGCCGCAGATCAAGAAGAAGCCGGCCAAACAGGCAACTGCTGGGGCCGGAGCAGCAGCGGGTGGGGCGGGTGGGGCGTCAGTCAGACAGGGCAAGAGGGGCGAGGCTGAGGCCAAGAAGGCAGTCAAGGCGGGCCTGGGTGTTAGCAAGGACAAGGAGAAGCGTGCGCGTGAGGTGGAGGCGGCCAAGCGGCGGGAGCAGCAGAGGAAGGACCAGGAGGCCGCCAAGGACAAGGAGAGGGACAACAGGCGGAAGAAACTCGCAGAGGCCAAGGCCAAGGAGGAGGAAAGGGCCAAGCCTGCCGCTCCTGCCGCGGTGCAAAGCAAGGCCAAGCCCAAGGCGGCCGAGAAGCCCCGGGGCAAGGCTGCCGCCAAGGAGGAGGCCAGGCCGCCAGCTGCAAAGGAGCCACCCGCTGAGGAAAAAGCCGCCAAGCCGAAAAAGGTCAGTCCGTCACTCAGCCATGCCGATGGATCATGTCAGTCACATGGGGGGCGGATAAGTCTATGCATGTGCTTTCCTCTTGCGTTGTGTCCAGCGTCTAAAGCGTCCTCGTGACCAAGAGGCGGAGGAGGAGGACAAGGACACCACGCCAGCCCCGCCCCCGCCCCTACCTGGCCCTGCACCCGCCCCTGCAGCTGTGCTCGAGCCGGCCCAGCCAAAGGATGACGCTGTTCCCGCCCCCCCACCGCCCGACGTGGACAAGAGGAAAGCTCAGCCTGCGGGCCCAGCTGCAGACGTCGAGGGCACTCCAGCGGAGAAACAGCCAGTTGCTGACCTGGAGGGCTTTCCACCGGTCAAGCAAGAGGAGACGCAGCGTGAGCCCGACATCCCCGAGCCGCCCAAGAAGAAGACCAAGGTTGAAGCCAAAGCTGCGGCCAAGGCTGAGGAGCAGCCGGCTGCTGCTGCTGCTGCAGCCACTGTGTCTGCCCCCTCGCGACCCCCCCAGCGCAAGGCGGCCAGGGAGGCTGGCGACAAGGCCAGGGAACAGCTGGCCGAGTCGGCTGCGCCAATCGACGAGGAGACTGAAGAGCGGGTCGTGCCGCAGAAGGCCGAGGCGGCGGCCAGCAAGGCCAAGGAGGGTGGGGAGGACTCCAGCCCAGAGGTCACGCTGGACAAGCTCTCCAAGGGCAAGAAGCGCCGTCGCGTGGCGGGCAAGGGCAGCCCGGGCAAGGACAACAAGGGGCCGCAGGTGCAGCCCACCAAGAGAGAGCAGGAGATGCCGCCACTCCAAGGGCCGACAGACCAGGTGCCGTTGCTGCAAGTTGGGCCGCCAGCTGTCCGCTGGCCTGCGTTCCTGGGCGACGATCCAGTGGCGTCTACGGTCCTGACGAAGAAGCGCAAGGGAGCAGCTGTTGGCAAGAAGCAGTCTACCCCATCGTCCAGTCAGCCTGCGGAACACCCAGGCAATGCCTCGCCTGCCCAAGTCGAGGCGGAGGCGGGACAGCCCGTTGCTGCTGCCACTGCTGCCGCTGCTCCCATTGCGGCAGAGGAGAGAGAGGGTGGTGTTCCTTCGCCCACGAAGGCGGTCGAGCCCGTGGCGGCTGAGGTGGTGCCAGCGGAGAGGCAGGAGGACATCGAGATGGAGCGACAGCAGCCCATCGTCGACGAGTCAGGCGCATCCAAGAAGCCAGCAGCCGTGCCGATGGACACCGAGACGTTGAGAGACCAAGTCGTTGAGGCAGAACGGCCAGCTGCAGCTGCTGCTGCGACGGTGCCAAAGCCCGAAGACGCACAAGTTGAGCCACCGCAATCCCCCGAAGAGCCAGACAAGGCGGCTTCTGAAGAAGAAGAGAAAGCCCCACCGGCACTGGCAGCGGCACCGCCAGCTACACAGCCAGCACCACCGCCACGGCTGGCAGCAGCAGCTGCTGCTGCAGCCGCAGCGGCACAGCCACAGGTGCCTGTGCAGTACCCGCAGGTCGTCCATGGCTTGTCGGCTCTATTTCCACCCTCGATGCCCCCCTGCCTGCAGCCGTCCATCCAGTCCCAGCCTGATGTCCCAGACAGAAGTAGGAGCACACCCATGCCACATAGGAGACCCGAAGGGCCACCCGCGCCGCCACGGGCGGCCAGTGAGCCCCCACCCCCACCACAGCAACAGCACTTGGAGGAGCCGGCTGACGTTCTCCCTGCGGCCGCGTCTGTGTCGTCTGGCCGTAGCTCACGGGCTGGAAGGAGGCCTGCCGTCCGAGCTGCGGCGAGGGCAATCCACGAGCCCCCACCAGCAGCGCTGGAGAGTGAAGTTCCCGCGCCACGCAGATCGAAGAGGCACCAGCAGGAGCATGCGGCAGTCAGCGATGAACCTGAGGGCGAACCTGAGGGCGAACCTGCGGCGGCCGCAGCTGCTGCGGCAGCAGGAGCAGGAGGACCACCGGGTGATGATGCTGGCACACCAGGTGCCGGTGATCAGGACAAGGATGACGACGGTGGGGTTCCTTCGCCCTCCAAGCGTCGCAGTGTGGCGCGGCCGAAGCGAGGCTTGACAATGTCCAAAATTCGGGATCTTGCGCAAGCAGCCACTCAGAAGGCCAAGAAGGCGGCTGCTCCTGCAGCAGCAGCGGCCCACGAGGCAGACGAAGGGTCCGAGGAGGAGGACCTCGTTTCAAGACGCAAGAGCAAAGGCAAGACGCCGCGCGCCGGGAGCGATGGCGGCGACATGAGCCGCCATGAGCCGCCCACCGATGAGGCCATGCAGCAGCACGACAGGCGACAGCCGCCCTTCAGACGGGGGTATAGTCTGCGCAGCCTGGGCAGCGTGGGGACTGGGGTGGGCAAGAGGAGTGACCACGAGGCCGACCACCAGCAGCACGATGATCATCAAGAGGAGGAGGCCAAGGAGGAAGAGGACCATCAAGAGGACGAGAGACTCGCCAAGCGTCGGAGGACCACCCGTGGCAAGCAGCCATCCGATGAGCCGCAAGGCGGGGCAGCGCATCGCAAGAGGGATGAACACGATGACGATGATCCGGATAATGGGTAAGTCAGTCAGTCAGGAAGTGAGCGACCGATTCACTCAGCCAGCGAGACAGACACCCCGACCGACACACACCAGTCAGTGAGTGATTCATCTGCGTTGCACTGTTGGTCCACCTTCAGGCCTGCGGCAGGTGGTGGTCATGGCAGGTCGACAAGAGCAGCCACCCGGGCACAGGCCAAGGCCCAGGGCGGCAAGAAAGCAGCAGCTGCTGCTTCCAGAGGGGCCGCCTCTGCCAGCAAGAGGCAGCCAGCAGAGGCGGATGCAGCCGAGGAGGAGGTGAATGACATCCATCTCCACCAGCCCGGCATGGTGATCGAGCCCCCTCCACCCCCCTTGCCGCAGCCGCCTCGCCAAGTGCACGCGTCGCTGCCGCTTTGCCTGAGCTCCAGCGCCTCTGCAATGCTCCCAACGGCCGACACACGAGGCGAAGGGACGGGCCGGTCAGTCCCATGGCCTCTCTCGGCGGAAGAGGAGCAGTGGAAGCTGCCGGCTGCTGTCGGGCGTGTGTCGGGTCCGGCAGCGGCAGATCGTGTCGTCAATCAAGAGCCCCTGATGATGGACGACTTCACCAGCTCTGAGCAGGGCAAAGCACCACCCACCCACCACACCGCCCTCATGCCGCCATGCAAGCCCGCTGCAGCGGCGAAAGGTGACAATGGCGAGTCGTTCGATCCTCCTCCTTTATCTGAGGATGCTGACGGCTATGAGAAGAGGGTCCTGCGTGAGGGCGACATGGAGCTCTTCAACGAGGCCTACGGCGGATCCCCTCCTACCTGTGCCCGGTATATCAATCCCTTCTTCTGGCGGCAGTACAGGGAGTACAGGCAGATCAAGGACAGCCAGGGGGGTGGGGTGGGAGCGTCTGAGGTGGCCGCCAGCAAGGCCACAGAGGGCGGCGGGAAGAAACGCAAGAGGAGCCAGCACCACCAGCGGAGCAAGGGCAGCACCAGCGGTGCTTTACCTGACAAGGAGCCGTTCCGCAAGTGGAGCGCTGAGAAGGTCACATGGATGGGCCTGGGCCACCCGGTCCCGGACCGCAGCGGCACCGTCATCTCTGGCCACCTGCCCTTCGATCCCTCCTTTGGTCTCGCGAGGCGGGAGGGCCGGGTCGACTTGTCGCTCCTCGAGCGCCTGCCACTCGAACTCCTACAGGTGGGACACTGTGGGGACAATGGATGGATGGATGGATGGCTGGATGCACTCGACAGACACGTGTTGTGTTGTGTTGTGTTGTGTTGTATGGTGTGGATCGATCCGATCTGTCTGTGTTGTGTGTATGCATTCTTGTCTCTGTCTTTCTGGCTGGCTGCCTGCAGGATGGGACATACCTGAATGTACGTAACGTACGGAGAATTAATGAATCCAAGGAGAGAGAGTCGTGGCACTTGCATGAGTCTCTCTCGTGTGATCCTCTTGTGGAACTGTCTCTGTGATGCGGCGCGGCTCTGTCGGTGCCGTGTGTGTTTGTTGTGCAGGCGGAGGGCCGTGCGTGGGAGAAGGAGAGCGAGGTGCTGGCGCGGCTGAGGGAGGCAGACAAGAACAAGTCCAGAGAACAAAGAAGTGAGTCGGTCGGTCAATGGCCTAGGCCGACACACAGACGTCTACACATGCCGCCGCACAGCACGACCCTGTGTGTGTATGTTGATATCGTCCATCAGAGATGCATCGTGGTGTGGACAAGGCGCTGCAGCTACAAGGCGCCGGGAAGCTGGGGTACAACGCCTTGAACTCCACCGCCAAACGCACGCGCCTCGGCCAGTCGAAAATCGCAGGGTACGCAGCGCAGCCAAGGGGGAGGGAGGGAGGGAGGGAAGTCGGAGGAAGGGTTGGTATGTATACATCTTGTGTGTGTGTGTGGATTGCGTCGGTGTCTCTCATATCATATGTCCCTCACGTGTCCGGTGTGGTGTGTGTCATGTATGTAGGTTGGGTTTGTTTGCGTTGGATTTCATCAAACGGGACGAGATGGTCATCGAATACACTGGGGAACTCATTCCCGCCGAACTGGAGAACCTCAGGTACACACATTATGTACACACACTGTTGCAACAATCGTATGTCAACACACACGCCCCCGCCCAACCCACCCACCCACCCAACCCTCGTGGCATGGGGCTCTGCCAGCTGCCTCGCCTCATCTGTGTGTTCTGTCAGGGAGCGGTCGTATCGCAGTCGGCTGGGCAAGACGAGCACCTACATGTTTGCCAACGGTGACTTCACCATCGACGCCACGCTCGAGGGCAACCTGGCAAGGTTCATCAACCACTCGTGCGACCCCAACTGCTACTCACACCCAATACCCGTATGCCACCCCACCCTCCCTCTCTCCCTCCCAACCACACAGTCAATCACTTGCGGCACGGCAACCTCCCATCCATCCATTCGTTTCTGCGTGGTTTGCTTGTTTGTGTGTCCCCTCCCCTCGTTTGTCTGTCCAGGGATCGTCTCAGGGCATGTCGCGGCAGCAGCGGGGCGGGTCGAGGGGCAGGGGTGGGCCGACCAAGGACGCCAGTCGGCGTGTGGCCATCTACGCCAAACGGGACATCCAGCCCGGCGAGGAGCTGTGCTACGACTACAAACTGTCGCTGCCCGAAAACGACAACGAGCAGGAGAGGTGCCTCTGCGGCAGCAACAAGTGCAGGCAGTTCTTTTGATTGAACAGACACCCGGCCCTCAGGACTTCTGTGCGGCTGACTTGTCTGCCACGCCATGGATGGATTGGTTAACTCTCTATCATGTGTCATGGACCCTATTGTATTTGCTACGGATTGCTGCGCATTTGTCGCTGCTCATGTGAACGTATGTCTGTCTATGAATGCCACGCCAGATGAGATGCAGCGCTACCCAACCAGTGCAAAGCAAAGCATCCTCCCCCCCTCCTATTCAGCTCGCAATGTTCGCTTCTCGCACGTGCATCGCCTTTGTGACGGTGGCGAGCTGTGTGTGTTCATCTCTGTCGTTTCGTTTGACACGCGTCGCTCGGCCGGGGTTCATATCTCGAGGCATCACCATGACCAACCTCAAACCACTGCCGCCGGACGATGCTGTGGTAGGTGGGACTCACCTCACACGCACTGACAATTAAGACACACAGGAGCGAGAGGGAGGCAGGGAGAGAGGGACAGGCCGCATCCCCGCACGCATGCATGAATCACACGGGCGTTGATTGACCTGCCGACCTGCGTCGTTCTGTCTGTGTGTTCTGCCTGTTTGGTGTGTGTTGCCCAGGGTCGTAAGTACAACTTCAACTGGCAACAGACCATGCTGCGCATCAAAGATCCAGCAAAGACGGTGAGCATCCATCGTCCAGACACACGCCAGATCTGCATCTGCTCGTGCACCACACATCGCTGCAGTGCATGGCATGTGCCCTCTCTCCCTCCCTCCTCAGGTGCCATTCTTCCAGGATAACTTTGGGATGAAGACGGTGCACAAGTATGACTTCAACGAGTACGGCTTCAGTTTGTACTTCTTGGAGCGGCCCAAGGACAGCGAGATTGCCGTGCTGCCTCCCGCCGGCACGGCCGAGTCTGAGAGGTATCTGTGGAACATGCAGAACACCACGCTCGAGCTCACCCACAACCACGGCAGCGAGAAGGACGACACATTCGCCGTCAATAACGGCAATGAGGAGCCACACAGAGGGTGGGCGGGTGGGCGGCTGGCTGGGCCGGCAGACAGACAGCACCGATAGATACTCTACTTACTGGTCATGTGTGAAATGGATGGATGGATACTGGATATGTTGTGTGTGTGTGTGTGTGTGTGTGTGTGTGTGCACACCAGGTTCGGCCACATAGCCTTCAACTGCGACGATGTGTACAAGGCGACAGAGGAGCTTCTCGCCAACGGGTGAGTGAGCAAGACGAGACCGCCCTCCACGCAGCACAGCATGTCAGTCAGCGACGTGACGTCATATATTCACTGCTCCCTCCATGTGCCTGCCACCCACGCCATATGTGCCACCCACCCCCGAACGATCCGATCGGTCAGTGTTCAATTTCGCAAGAAACCCGATGAGGGGCGGATGAAAGGCCTCGCCTTTGCCCTCTCGCCAGAGGGCTACTGGTAATGTCCGCCCACACAACTACATACCCACACAGAGAGGGAGACACGCAGGACGACAGTGTGCTGCGCTGTCTGTGTTGTGGGCGTTAGGATTGAGATTGTCAAGCGGGGCAAGCCTGGCGTCCACAACGAGCCCTTCAACCTCAGCCAAACCATGGTAGGTGTGCACACACCTGACCAACACACACACAGACAGACAGACAGACACACCCCACACCGTATCAAGTGGCCGGCCGCATTGTAAATGTGTGTGTGTGTGTATGTGTGTGTGTGCATGATGGATGCGTGTGTGTAGAAGCGTGTGAAGGATCCCGCCAAGAGCGTTGCGTTCTACCGTGACGTCATGGGCATGACGCTGGTACGTGTGATGCATGCCAATGACTTCTCCCTCTACTTCATGGCGTCCATCCCCAAAGAAGAGGCCGCCAACGTACCCACAGACCCCGAGAGCCCCGAGGCCGCTGAATACATGTCAGTCAGTCAGCCCACTCAAAGGAGCGCACCACACCTGACTGACTGACCTTCACGGGTTCATCTCTCTCTCTCTCTCTCTCCCTGTCTCTCCCTATTTCATGCTTGTTGTCGGTGTGTGTGTGGGGGTGCAGGAAGAACCTGTGGCAGCCTGTGTTGGAGCTCACACACAACCACGGCACCGAGAAGGATGACACATTCACATACCACAACGGTCAGTCAGTCGGCCAACCCACACACCAACACGCTACATACACCCGCCACTCGCCAACTCGCATCATTTCTGTGGGCTTCCCTCCCTCAGGCAACGATCAGCCGCAAGGGTATGGGCACATCGGCTTTCTGGTCGATGATTTGGAGGCGGCGTGCGCCAGCCTCGAGCAGCAAGGCGTGCCTTTCAAGAAGAAACCACAGGTAGGTCAACGAGACCGTCGTGAGATAGATGAGTGTGCCCAACTGGGCGAGTACGAGTATCTGTCTTGTGTGGGTCTGTCTGTCTGTCTGTCTTTTGTGGTGCAGGATGGCAAGATGCGCGGCATTGCCTTTGCCTACGATCCCGACAAGTACTGGGTTGAGCTCATACAGAGGGGCGCCACGTTCACCAACTGACTGACTGACTGACCAGTCGTACCCTCTCTACACCACGCATCCGCGTACCGCACCATGAAGGGAAGGAAGGATGGTCGTTTTCTTCCAGAGCTAGCGAGCACACCGACATCCATCCATCCATCCATCTGCATGGCAGTCAGTGAGTCCGTCAGTCAGTCACCCCCCCCTGTGAGTCTTGTGGCTTGTTGAGGTGTTGTGCTGTGTTGTGGGATCGTCTATGAGGCATGACATGCGGATCCAGTTTTCCAGCTAGAGCTCCCAGCCAGCACAAGAAGTGATTTTGATACGTGCAGCAACTTTCTGTGCTGTGGTCGGCCCGTAGAACCAGGCGGTAGGTTTACATGGACGTAGCAGACTGACGCAAGCATCAGTGCACATGGGATACACGCATGCAGTCTCATTAAGAGCAGGCCATGATGGCCTGCGGCCAGGACAATCGCGCACCTGCGAATGGATCTGTTCGATTTGCGAGATCTGGCAGGCGAGTCGCCTGATGTGGCCATCCACTGGACCAGGAGATTCTACTCTGAGGTACACACAACACAACACATGCTGTCGGTCAACCAACCAACGACGGATGGAATCACACATGCATAACAGCCCTGTCTGTCTGCGTTGCGTTGCACGTTGCAGGTGCTGAGGCCTTCCTTCGACGATGACCTGCTCGATGATCTCGCCGACATCGGTAGGTACGGGAGGGAGTGGGGAGGGAGGTTCTGACACACGCAGATAGATGACTCTGAGTGTACATGAGAGTTGTTTGTTTTGTGTGCAGAGAAGGGTCTGCTGCATCCTGATGTGGTCTCTCCCGAGCTGCACGTGCTCGTGGCAGCCGCCGGCGGTGAATGTGTGGCAGGCGGCAGCCTGTTTGAGTACTACAGCTGGAGCAACTGCGGCCTGTCATCCTATACCGTGGTGCTCGAGCCATACAGGGGGGAGGGACTCGCCAGGAGGATACTCGACACACGAAACCAGGTCGGTTGGTCAACCAGCCACGGTAGGGTGGCACAGTGGCGTGAAGGGTGGCGCTGACTCCACTCACTGTCTGTCAGATCCTGGATGCTGCCCGTCGTCGCTTTGGTTATCATGAGGAGCCGTGCACTTTGTTTGCCGAGATAGCTGATGCGCCCGGGACGAGGCAGCAGATACAGCACAAGCTCGGATGGAGACCACTCAGATTCAAGTGACACACCGACCGACCGACCGACCGACAGACTCAACGGTGGCTGTGCTGCTTCTCCGCTCCCCTTGTGTGTCGTGTGCCATCCATCATGATGGTCATACAGGTATGTCCAGCCGCCCTTGAGCGAGAGCAAGAACCCTGTCGAGGGCCTCTTGCTGGCTGTCAACGGTCGGCAAACGCTGGACAGGCACACTGTGCAGCGCTTCCTAATCGACTATGCCGCGTCGGTCGACCACACAGTGCTTGCGTGGGCAGAGCGGCGCCTGGGTAGGTCGCCGCCGCTGACTGCACTGCATACGTCATGTCATACACTCATTCGTTCTCGTTGGTCGCAGGTATCCGTCTGGGGGATGTGCGTCATGCTGTCGGTGCTCCACGGCAAGAAGCGTGCACACTGATGCAGTCTATTCTCAGAGAGAATCTGCCTGAGTACCTCACACGTCAGCTGCTGGAGCTCGACACTTTAGAGTTGGTTCAATGCGGCACTTTCTCGACTTGAGACTCGCTGTGTTACTCTTACGGCCCGCCCGTGTCAATCAATCGACCTCCTCGTATCGCATCGCATCGCACTCAGTCGGTCGGTCGGTCTGTCGCAGCTGCTTCCATGCACTCATAAGGACAGACCAACATCTATCTCTTCATCTATCGTCTTATTCGAATCATTCTGGCCTTCCTGGTCCCCCCTGATCTGTTCTTCTTAACGAAGTCTAGGGCCTTAGATGAGGGCACGATGCCCCAGGGCCCCAGCCCATTGGCTTGCCTCTCGCGGTGCAGCAGCACGTCCAGCAGGTTGTACACCGACACCTTGGGTTTGGGCGGCGTGTCGGGCCTGGCCCTGTGCATCCTCTCCCACGCAGCTTCAAGGTCCTCCAAATCCATAAACAGCGGACACAACCTGCAACACAACACCCACACGCAAACAAACACCATACATACAGATTATGTTGTGCCAAGCAGTGCGGTGGAGTGCTGGCCGGCCAAGGCAGTGGTCGGTTGGGCCTCGCACACTGACTTGTCGCCGTTCTTGGTGACGTCCAGCCCAGTGGCTTCGAAGACAGGGATCATTTTCGTCCGACGCCCGAGAAGGGTCACGTAGTTCCCCGCATTCTCTACCTGACGCTGCACACATCATACACAGACGGAGGGGATGGACAAGCGCACCGGTAGCAGATCTGTGAATGCGCTGTGATCCCACTCACTGACTGACTCACGCAGTAAGTGACTGACTCACTGACTTGTGGTGGGTGGAATTTGAATGTCATGACGGCTTCCTTGCCGTCCTCCCCCACGATTCCCGTCCTCCGGGGCTCTGCCCGCCTCGCGTAGGCCCAGGCCTTCTCCAGACTGATTACAAACAGACGGGCGTCCGCACCAGGACCAGCCGTCTGCACCATTTCGTTGAGCATTGTGTTGGCCTCCTCGGGATCTGTGAACATCAGTGCTGCAGGCAGGCAAAGCACGACAGATCCATGCAGAAAGGCAACGCGCCAGGCTGTGTGTCGTGCGTGGATGAGATGATGGGTGTGTGGGAGTATGTGTGGGTGCTGGCTGCATGTTACGTACATACCTGTTTGTTCGCCCGGCCTGACTTGTGTGAGGTACGGAAGTGCGTAGCTGTTGGTGATGAGGAAGACGGGCACACTGCTCAACCGCTCGTCCATAGGACGAGAGCTGAACTTCTTCCGCAGGCGGGGCAACACACGCCGCCCCATGGACGACAGGCTCTTGCCCTTGGGCAGCCAGGACGCCAGGGGATGCCTCGCGGAGGGGGAGAGGGCAGCGGAATGCAGCTGCTGGCGTGCATCGCACACAAGTGTGGCGATGAGTGAGGTGCTTACGATGAGGACCAGCGTCACTAATGGGGCTGTTGCGTCCATGTCGTTCACAAATCTTGCGAGCTGAGAAAGCTGCCACGCTGATTCGTGATCGAACTCATTACCAGTATCGAGGTGAATGTGCCTATGGGAATCTGCTCGATTGAGGGCCGCCAGCCAGAGACGAGAGCAGAAGCAGCCGATTGCGGGTGGTCCCAGAGATCTGGTGCATGCATTCAATTTGCCTTCATCGGTGTGTTCGATGATTGCAAAATGAAATCAACCTTTCAGTATACGTACTGTACTTATGTGTGTCCAACCATGGGATGCAAAACGGCCGTGTGCGCATTGTGCATACGCATGAACGCATGTGGGCACCTCGGCTGTACACCCACTCATAACAAATTCGGATAATCTCGTACTCACCATCCGAACAAGCAGCCATCCATCCGTGTGTTTATTTATCTTGAGAAGGGGTCCTCATCTGCGTCCTCGTCTGCATCCTCTTCGCTCTCGACGTCAGAGTAGTCAGCAAACACCTGCGATGCAATAAACAAGCACCCAAGACACGCAGGCAGGGGTGGCATCCATGGCTGCAGCTGTCTACAGCTAGCTGTCTGATTTCCCTGTCTTTTACTCCTCACCTTGGCCAAGACAGCCTTCTGCGAGTCAATGGGGATCGTCTGCAGACAGGAAGGAAGGCAAACAGGCAGGCAGCCGTATGGCCGGCCCCTGTCTGTTTGTTGGTAGCTCAGCTTACCTTGAGTACGGCGCATGCGTTTTTCACCTGTGTCATCATCGATCTGGTCAGTACCTCGACGAGAGCCATGCCGGCCATGATAAGTGCGATGGCCACCCCGGCGAGTACCCAGGACAGCTGGTCGTTCGCCTTGACGTCGTCGCGGGCCTCTTCCAGAATGGTCTCCTCAAGAGAAAACAACCCGTCACGCAAGTCAAAGGACAGTGCCTATGTAGGCAGACAGACAGACAGAAGGGTGGTAAATATGTGTGTCATTCTTCCGCAGATGGGATATGTGACACACTATGCTGTCTTCCTGATTGACGCATTCGTTGGTTGCTTTGCTTTGCTTACCTGGGTGAGGAACCAAAACTCAGGCGGATGTGTGAACGTCACGTCCTCCGGCAGTGACTCGATGGTGCGATGGAACATGAGGTTGATCTCATCGGCGAACTCGCTAGGGTCAAATGGATTCTGTGCAAAGGGGTCGGCCATGAGCTGCCGCCGTGTCCTTCTTGATCGAGTCCCCCGTCGCGCTGGCCGCGTCCGCCGCCGGCTCACTTTGAATCTGCGGAGGAGTGGCTGGAGGGCGGACATTGTCGCGTTGACCAGTGATTGCGGCAGCGGGAAGCCACGGGGAGGGGTAGAGAACTCCGTCGATAGGCGTCTTGCTGGCGGGTCGAGCAAGCGGCGTCGGTGTGTGCCAAGAGCCGCTGCATATTTGTCGTGGTACATGGAGTAAACGTGGCCTGCGTACTTCATCCAGATGACGACTCCTTCGTACAAACCTTCCTCCAGCCTCCTGCTGAGTAGATAGGGGTGCTGGCGGTCAGTGCATCCGTGAGGCTCGTGGACGTTGTCGCGGCTGAGGAGGCAGCCCGGCTCATAGAGCAACTCCCGACGGCTGGGATGCCGCCGGTCCATGGCGTCCTCAGCCTCCAGGTGATCTTCGTCAACATGGCCATGCAGCAGCTGGATGAAGTCCTGCATACATCCATGAGACAGGTAGGAAGCTACTCTTCAGACGAGAGGCGCCACGGTGCCTGGCTTCGCCGATGGATGTACGTGTTTGGCAAGTGCGAGTGTGTGCTGGAACTCCTCCCGTCTTTGGTCAACCTGCCACTGCAGCCTGAACAAGCAAGCAGCCCCACACGAGCAAGAGCCACAGCCATCATGGATGCATACGCGCGCGTTCGCGGCAAGGTATGCGATGCGTGCACGATACGTCTGTCTGGTTGGGTGGATATCTATCTACCTTGGTTTGTATGGCGGATAAATAATGTCGGGCAGCAGGGCAACCACCTGTCTGGTGTGCAGCTGGAGCTCCTTGACCTCAGAGAGCTCCACCTTCTTGCTGCCCATCTCCTGCAGCAGGACTGTGGCGATGATGTGACGCACCATGAAGAACACAAGAATTGTCAGCCAGCCAGCAGTCGTGTACCTGCACACGCACACAAAGACTAATATATGCCAACGTGCCCGCACTAGTGTGTATGCCTTTAAAGAACATCCTGCTGGCTCAGCAGGTAGCTAGCTACGCAGCTCACTGTCTCACCTCGAGAAGCGGCCCAGAAGAGCACTGAGACATGCAGCACTGTACGTGTAAAGTCTGGTCATGATGAGTCTGCACGGCTTCGGACAGCACACTGGCCCCATCAATATGGGCGGTTCCTTGGATGCTGATGCTGCAGCCTGCTGGTGCTTGGGGGCGTGGCTGTGGTGGTACTTCTCGTGCCTGTGCTCCTCCGGACGAGGCGGCACGACAGGGGGTTTTGCCACCTTGTCACGATGCACAGCTGCCGGCGGGATTGGCTTGGTGGCAAACCCCCCAGGTAGGTGTGGCTGCTCTTGTCTTTGTGTGGGTGAGGCTGGGGCTGGTGGGGGGGTGGAGAAAGGGGTGCCGGCACCGACCCCTGTCATTTTGGCGTCGGGGCACACGGGATCACACGATAAACCGCCGCTCCTTTGCCGATCGCTCCTTGGCCTCTCCACCGAAGTAGACCGATGGCCGTCCGTCGCCTCATCTTCGGGGCTGCTCTCTCTCCGTGGCGGGCGGGCGCTCGACGACTGTGAGTGCCCGCGGCTGCCCGCTAGCCGCTGGATGTTTTGTTCTATCTCGTCCCCGCCAGTGTAAGAGCGTGTGCGGCGCCGGAGCTCCTCCAGAGGCTCGGCACCTGCAGTGGCAGCCTGCAGAGTGGACGCACGAGATGTTGCTCGGCGGAAGAACCCGCCTCCAGCGGCCTCCTGCTGTGTCTCTGCCGCCGCCTCCTCCACAACTACCTGACCTCTACAAAGCATATGCATGCATACAGCAAGCAGCAAGTGAGGAATGGAAGGAGGGAGGGAAGGAGGGAGGGAGGGAGGGAGGGCTGCACTGCGTGTGTAGCGATGGATATAGACACGCAGCAGTGGTGTCTGTCTACCCTGCCTGTCTACCGTGCCTGTCTACCGTGCCTGCCTGCGTGTGCTTTGCCTGCCTGAGCCACAGTTTGAACTCAATGTCCTCGCCCGTGTCACTTTGGTCAGTCTTGAGGCCCAGCACCTCCGCCAGGTGCCAGTTAACCTTCCGGCCCCTCACTGTGCACGGCCCACACATGTCCTCAACCCAAACCTGATCATAGGATGCCATGGATGCCACCCACAGTGAAGCGAGCAGCTCTGCCGAAAAGTTGAACAGGTATACAAACCTGATATGCTTTGAGATTGCCCTGACAACAGGGGGCGTATGCGTGTATGGTGCGCAATGGCCCTCGCATCCATGTGTACTGACTGACTGACTGACCTCCGTCAGGCCGAGCAAATCGCCGAATGTCGGTTCCAGCGCGGCACGGGGCGATTGCTCCCAAGCGCCACGGTGTGACGGCACAGCTGCATCTAAGCAAGGAGACGTACGTGCACGGACGCCCCCATGAGCGAGCCCCACACACAGTCAGTTCACCAAACTACCTACCTACCTCTGAGTCGGTCTGGTGGTTCTGCTAGGTCGGCAGCCTCATGCGGCCGTTCTTTCTCCTCTTCCTCCTCCTGTCCCGAGGGGAACACTTCCTGGCCACATGGTGCCGGTGCCGGCAGGTCAGGCACATCTTGCTCCGTGCTCTCGCCACCTGCAAACAAGGAGACGGGCAGAGCAGACAGGCAGGCAGGCAGGCAGCTTGCGCAAGTGATAAGCAAACAGGCTGCATCCCCCAGCCGGCCTACGCACGTGTGACATTGGTGACATTAGTGGCAATGGTCTTTGCAGTTGGCTGTCGGTCCCGCAGTGGGTGTCCCTCGGGCGGGGCCACCTCGCGGCTCCTCTGCTCCGTTCGGAAGAAGTGGTCGAACTGGCCTGCCAGCCCTCCCCCCTGGTCTTCCTCAGCAGCCGCTGCCACCTTCTTGCGCTTTGCGGGCAGTGAAAGGGACGTTTTGGCTTCATGCACACAGTCATAGGTCCACACAGAATTCAAGTTGGTTGTGGTGTTTCCATTAGATCATACCACTCGCAGGTGCGGGCGGTTTGGCGTCGGTGGCCTCTGAGCCCAAGCTGCCCTGCTCATCTGCATCCTCACCGAAGGGCTTCCTGTAGCTCTTGATGTATAGCCGCCGCAGCTTTCGACTCTGTACCCCTGACTCGCCCACCGTCCAACCAGCAGACCGCACGTGCGCATCGCGACAGGCATAGCCGCACCTGTCTCCGTCTCTCCCACCTGTGAGTTCATGGCATATCTGAAGTGCCACCGGTGCCCCGTTCTCCTGCCGTCTGTCGAACTCAAGCAAACGCGCCTGGATCAACTGCAGACAGACACAGTGAAACAAGATCGACTGAGCCGCCTCTACGTATCGTATCGATGGATGGAGGTGTATGGCTGTAAGTAAGGCCACCTTAAGTGTGCCAAGGCAGACGAGCAGCCCGAACACGAGCACTGCAGTGCTGGCAAGGGACAGCACCAGCACTGCCGTGGTGATCGCGTCCTGCACGTGTGCCAGCTGCAGCAACAGGATCCGAAACCCTGCACACCACCCAGTGAGTGGATTGAGTGAGTGAGGGCAATGAAGTAAGTCGTCTCGTCCACCCCGCATATGCATACCCTCGTCCGGTATCGGTCCGACGCAGTTTTCGGAAATAAACCGGAACTCAGGGCTATCGGGCAGGGGCTCTTCGTCGGGGATCCTGCGGGCCTGGTCCGCCACTGTGCGGATGGCGAATGCATACTTACTCGCCAGCTCGTTGAAATTCATCACTCGTGACGCCCTGAATGATCCACAATCGATCCATCCATCAGTGAGATAAATTTGCAGGGTAGTCAGGTGATCGATCACCTTGATCCGTCCTGTCTGAAGTAAGTGACATTAAGATACGCCTTGTTGATCTTTGAAAGCACGTCTGCCATTTTGTCCTTGGCCGCCAAAGTCGATATCTGCACAATGCACTCAAGGCGGCCATGCATGTGCGTACGTCGACTGAGCTCTGATATTCTCACGTCGGATACGGCGGTCGAGATCATTTCTGCATGCGAATGCAGCTCATCGTCCTGCTCGAGCAGCAGCTCGCGTGCCCTGGGATGCAGTCGGTGATCCGTGTCCTGACCAAAGAAACCGACACGAAGTGATGCATAATCTTATAAAGTCAAGAAACTCAACACGAAATGTGCGACCTTGTAGATGATGAGTTTGTTGAGGTGAATGCATGTCTCGGACCACGAGTTCATGAGTGAGCCATGGTGGTCGAGCTCCACCATCTTCTCGGTGACGTATGTCTGCTCCTGCACCACGCGAAGGACTGAGAGCTTGTCGATGTGCATCACACATTCTTTCTTACTGTCATGCCGAGGTGGTGGGACACGAAGGACATGACGACGAATACGACCAATGCGAGCAGGGTCATTGCCTTGATCCAGTGCAGCGCTCGCATCTTCTTCTGCTCGATGCTCATCACCTGGATGCATCCACATCACATCACAACACAACACACCAACCAGAGCAAGGCAGGGAGGGAGGCAGGGAGGGAGGAGACGTGGGGACGAGCGTAGGGAAGAGCAGTCAGTCAGTCGTGTTCCCCAGTGCTTGGTCATTACTCGTTCCAGTTTGCGGTCCATCCCCACCAGCAGGAGGTTCCTCCCAATAGAGCTGCTGTGGTGAGACGAGCTGTACTGCGAGGAGGACTCCGCCAGGTCGTTTTGCAGAAGAACTTCCGCGCGCCTGCACATGCACACCAAAGATAGATACGATGCAAAGAGGCACAGGCCACCAGGCGAAGCCGTGTTGCTCGATACTCACTTTTCATCGAGCATTACGTTCCGTACGAAGGCAGCGTAAAGGTCGAGGGCCTCAGGGGCTTTCGGAAATCGAGAAAGCAGGTTCATGTAAGCCCCCTCGGCCGTCCTCAACGCAACGAGGGCGTTATGTAGAACCTACATGGCAGGCAACACTGACTTACACATAGATAGAAACAGACGGGGAGGGAGCCTTACCTTTGCCTGTGGCTTGATCTGCGCAGTATGCTGCGAAGACATCCGCCAGAACTTGACCAGCAGCTCCAGAGCCCTCAGATGATTCACCTTGGCGGCCACCGACCATTTCTGTGCGCACAAACAAAGAGACGCCAGTAGACACCAAACAGGGACATGTGTGAAGATCAAAGCACTGTGTTGGCTGTGTGTGTAATACTATGTGAGGACTTTGTAAGTCATGAGGTCGATGAGTGTGAGTTTTCTGGTGCCCAGCCCGCCCATGAGGTACGTGGCCTGTCTTGCTGTCTCGATGTCTTTGGAGAGGTAGTAGCATATATAGGGCACGTCAATCTGAAACGTGTTGGAGTTCTGATTGGCGTAGCGAATGAATCGATACACCTGTCATGCCGCCCACACACAATTGCAAGGCATGTATGTATGTATGTATGTATGTAAGTATGTATATCCAGTGACTGAGTGAGTGAGTGACTGACTGACTGAGTGTGTGCTTCAGTTGTGTTTCCGTACCCCGAAGGTCTCGTTGAAGAGCACTCGGCACGTCAGGGCGTACCTACACGCATATACATGTGAAGGAAAAGACACAGAACAGCCGTCCCAGAGAGGGAGGTTCTCTCTGTCTCCGTTACCATGCGTAAGTGAATGCTCGTTGTGCAGTGGATAATCGACCGCGAAGGAGGAAGTAGAACAGTTCATCCACTAGTACACGGATGACCTACGCGCAACACCACACGTACGTATGCACATCGATGTCATGTGTGATTGGTGTACTAGATTGCTAGATCAGATGCTCACTTCCTTTTCCTTATCACTGAAGTCATACCACCTGTCTCGGATTGCGCGCAACATCAGCTCTATGTCGGTATCCCAGTAGACGGACTTGCGTACTAGCCTCGCCTTGTAGCCCGACTGGAGCCGATTCACCATCGTGCTCGTCGCATGACTCTTCTGGTCGTCATCGCCACCTCTCATGAACGAGATGCTGTCCCTCTGCAGATTGTCCACAGCGCCGCCAGCAAATTGCCCGCGAGGCCGCTCGACCTCGCTGTAAAGTGCCTGAATCAAACGAATCACACAAACTTGTCCCAATGTGTCGCTTGACTTTTGATGTTTACTGAAAGTAGGAGGTTCCTATATTCCTCGTCGTAGTTTTCGTATACCTCCGACCAGCTCCGCTCCAAAAGCCTAACGAAGTAGTACTTGCGGTACACACCCGCAGGGCTCAACCTGAATGGGACCGTACACACACCCAGATGCGGTCCCCCGGGTGCATCTCCCCTCCCACCCTATCAGCAGGGCCAGCGTTACGACTGAACAGTCGAGCAAATGACACGAGTTAGTGATCAGACCAAGACGCCCACCGAGGTCCTTACGTGCAGCTGTGAGGTAGATATTGTGTGAGAGGGGATAGAGGGCCCCAAATGCCAGTGCGGAGAAGATGGCCACCCGCAGTTTGTTGACAAAGTCACAGTAGCTCGGTGACTGGACGGCCGTGAGGACAGCCACGAGGGCCAAAAGAATAAAGTTGGCCACGCTGCAGTACCGCGTCCACGTCTCCAAGTCCTCGTGTCCTTCATACGAATCGAGAGTGATCCTATTGGCCGCTACGACCGTTTTCATGATGACCACCCAGACCTCGACCCTCCCATGAGCGGCTGCTGACTGGGACTGCGAGAACTGATCAAACCTGCACGCACATCCGCACATCCGCATACGGATTTGTGCACAGACTGGCTGGCATGCATGTTCTGATACTTGTTGTAGAGGAGTGCGACAACGATTGACATGGCCAACAGAAGAATGAGCGCCAGCAGGCTGGCGGCCTGGGCGAAGATGTGCAAGTAGGAATTGCACAGGAAGTCTGGACCTATCACTGACTCAAGCGTGGCACAGGAGAAGCACATCATCAGCGTCACAGTCAGAGAGGTGTAATAGGTCGTAGCCAGCACTGCAGAAAGTGACGTCAGTCAAACAAGACGGAGAAAATACGGTCAATGCCATTCTCCCATACCCCGCCGGCTTGCGTACCGATGCAGAAAAATTTAATGACAAAGATGGGTGCTGCGAGGTTGATTTGCCTCGATCGAAAGGTTTGTGCCACCAGGATCCCGCTGCCAGCGCTGGCAAAGACAAGGACTGCCAGAACTAGGGAGAGCACCATGTATACGCTGCCAGTCCTTCCATGGGCGCCTTCTGTGGTTGTCTCAGCCAGCAGCAGCAGGGGATTCGTCACCAACACAAAGATGCAATCTGGGTCAAAAAGGTCGACGTGGTCGCAGTAGGGGAGTTTGTTCCTGTCATGGGTTGGGGGGCCGTAGACCGGCACACACAGACCACACCCATCCAGTATTGCCGCAGGCAACCAGCAGTCTATCTGTCTCGGCGCACCCTGTGTTTAGCAGAATCAGTGGGACAAGCTGAAGCCCCTCGATGACGAGCCGCAACGCTTCCAGAATGCGGGCTGACAGCGGGCAAAACGAGGAGCCGGACATGAATGCCTCACCGTGGTGAAGCGTGAGTATGTCTGGCTTCGTGTACCGGATATCCGCACATGGGCATCGTCCTTGTCTCGGCGCGATGAATCCACCTGTTTTCATGACCAACAAGCAAACCTCAGGAAGGGACTGGACCGACCATGGTCTGGTGTGGTGTTCTGAGATTGATCTGTCAATCCATTTCGCGCCGACCACATCTGTACACACAAACAGCAGACACATACATGGATAGATGCCTTACATCAAGTCAATTACACTCCTGTGTGTGGCTTGTTTGTGGCCTTACAAAGGACGCCGAAGAGACCTTCAAGCAGTGGGTGAAATGACAAGACCTTTAGGCCACAAAACGAAATCACAACCGCATACAGATCATCCAGACGGCCTCACGTTTTTTCCTTCTCCAAGCTCGTCCGATGCCTTTGCTGGGCACAGACACAGCATTCATGCGTTAATGAAACCAAACCCAATTCATGAATGTCGCCTTGCATCGGTCTCCACCAACCTCGTGAGCTCTGCATTGTCGGTAACTGCGACTGGCGTCAAGTGGGTCTGGTGACGCCTTGACTTCGAGCGATCGTTTTTGCAGCGAGCTTGGCCCCCGGGCCCCCCCGCCCGTCTCTTGAAATGGCACCGAAAAAGAAGGGGAAGAAAAAGAAGGAGAAGGACGAGGACGTGCCAGATCAGCCCCAATATGAACACCCCGAGGTTCGGCCTGCGCGCCTTGACGAACGCCGCATCAAGGCCGTGGTCAAACTGGCGGCGCCCGTGTGCTCGCTGCTGGAGTTCGTTGTCGACGTGACGCCCCGCACCAAGATCGGCAGCATCGGGGAAGCCATCATTGCCAGACATGGGGGGTCCATAAGGGCCGACGAGCTGTCCATATGCGTCAATCGGTTTCACCCAGAGGAGGTCGTCAGCAGCGAGAAGACGCTGGCCGACTGTGGCGTGGTGGGCGGGGAGGCCCTCATCTATTACGACTTCATGCCGCAGAGTGGACCACTTCTCGGCCGAGTGGCTGACTGTCCAGGTGACACTGTCGTGCGTATATGAATGGGGCCTGGCGTGTTTATCTATCTGTCCCAGCGAAGACACTCACTTCATGGTTGATTGCGTGTTGCTGACTGACTGACTGATTGACTGACCGACAAACATTCTGTCAGGTCGTGCATCGCATATACTGAATGGCCGTCGAATTGCAATCGAAGAATGTGTGTACTCACGTAGACATGCATTCCGTCTACCCCGGGCCCCATGTCTCTCGTGATTGCGTCCGTTCACCACCAAGTGCGCGACTCACAAGACGGTCTGCTGAGTGTCATGGGGTCTCTATGCGGCTTCTCTTTTGTGGCGGAGGGCCACTTCCTGGAGTTGCATCGGCAAACAGACTGTCGGGCAGGCCATTCTCGATCGATCGGAACCCACTGATAGGAACACACAGGTCTATTGAGATGCGCTGGTTGTCTCATCTCCTCAGTGGACATCGAAGTACCTGCAGTCGACATCGAAGCACTTCTGCCAGAATACACGTCTCCTCAAGTCAGCCACCAACATGATGCCTACACATAGAGAGAGAATTGAGGCTTGGTTTTCTCATCTGTTGGTATTCTCACCATTGGATTTGTGCGGCCTTCCTATCCGTTCACACAGACGGTTGTCGCCACCCAAAGACACACAGACATAGCCCGTTGAATCTGAAAGGCTCCTGTCGTCCGCACTATCCTCGTACACCGCACCAGCGTCGGGTCGCGTGAACCACCACTAACACGTACAAAGACAACAACATGGACATCCATGGACACTGTGCACATCGATGGCAGACCCCGCCCTGCAGACCTTTGCGACACGTGAGCGTACTCCTGTGCCGTCTGTGCTGAAGGTATCGGGCGGCTCTGGTGGCTGTGGTGGTTGCAGGAGGAGGTCTAGTCGACTCTGCCTCCATGTTGCCGGCGACCCCCTCCATGCCTCAAACTCTTTGTCCCATGAGGCAACCTGTCAGGCAACCAGGCAACACCATGCACCGCAATGAAAGCATACATGAGACATGCATGCGTCAATGAAGTACCATGTAGTCAATAAGGCCCCGATGGACCTCTGGAATGTCGCCATCAGACCCCTCGACACAGCTGGATGCCGCCTGCCGTGACGGTTGGGGAGCCGACAGCTGTCGGCAGCTACGGAGGTACTCTTGGCTGGACATATGAGGCACGTCGGGGTGTTCGAACAAGATCACCTGCATATCAGAATGTCTGTGTGTGCATGTGTGTGTTTGTGTGTGGGTATCCTTCGGTGCTTGCTCACGGTCGAAGGAACGAATGACGCCAGTGACTCCAGCACACGGAATGTGTTCAGATGCTTCATGGGGTAGCCCGTGCGATCCATGTCAAGCTGATAGACAGGCAAAGGACGCAATCTGTGTATGTGTAGCAGGACCATATTGCCACCTTGAGCGCTGTGTCCTTGCCATACTTGCTGCTGTGCAGCATCCTGAAGGACACCACCATCGAAATGCACAATTCGTCCCCGTATGAATCGTGAGCTGACCTAAAACATCTGTTGCGACTGTACACCCCTCTGTCCACCACACATTCCCACTCCCTGCCCTCCTCGCACCCATCAGGGTTCTCCAGCCATACCTTGCTACGCACAAACAGAGCCCGCGCAGCACCGGCGAGTGTCGAGGCTGATGGTGCGTCGTCGCCGAAGGGCTCGACGTCAGCGCCGCGGCCGGCCTGCTGGTCCGCGGCGGCTTCATCACGGAGCCGTGTGGCCCATTCGACAAACTGCTGCACCACCCATCCCGCCATGGCATTGCTTGCGAATGCCGTGCTGGTAGTGCCCCGCCGCTGGCTGTGTGCCTGATGCTTGATGATAATGTGCCGCGACAGCTTATCAGTAGTTGATGAGTCCATGTCGATGACGTCTTTCTCCTCGATTTTAACGCCGTAGTTGGAAAAAAGGAAGTGCCTCAGGAGGAGGTAGAAGCTGTCGAGGAGGCCCTTCGTGTAGGTGCTGCGGTTGACGTCAGGGGGAAGCTGGCACCACTTGGCGTCGATGTCGAAGTAGAGCCAGCAAGGATGGCCCTCTCTAATCACCTCATAGTAGTGCCTGAGAGAGAGAGAGCGCCAGCAACCGTGGATGCATCAAAACAGCGTCCGTCATCAACTGCATTGGACTCACCGTTCTCCCGACATGACGGCGGGGTCAACGTAGCGACTGCAGAAATCGCGATACGTTGCAACCAGGTACCTTCACAAATGGAGCGATGCGTGGGTTTCCGTCCGTTTCTCGTGATCTTCCCTCCTCTCTTACTCTCTTCTCCCGTCTTCCTTAATCTCGTGGCTGAACACGCCGGTGCACTTCTGAACGCGGTCGCTTAGCCTGTCATAATGCCTGAAGGCCTCTGCGGACATAAGAATACCCATCCATCTATCCATCCATTCATCAACACACGCTGCAGTTTCTCACCGTTTTGCTTCGTATGAAATTGCCAGACGAGGGGGGGCGAAGGCAGGGCACCGCGAATGAACCTATCGAGGGCTTGCGCATGCAGCCGCGCTACTGTAGCATCCATATCTGCACGCTTGGAACACGTGTGTTTACAGTGATGGGGGCGTCTCAATTTCCATCGCTTTGTCCGGATGCACCGTCTTTTTGACGTGCTGCTGGTGGGCGCATGAGTGTCACATGCATGTACGGTCAGTTGCACTGTATGTTCTCACCAGTTTTAACTTGGGGGAATCCCCCACGGTGCGAGACTGCTGGATGTCTTTCTTTGCTTTCCTGAGGCGGGCGGGGGGAAGGCAGCTCGGTCACGTACTTGCATCGTCAGGGCCGGTGCTCTACCTGTGCGTCACGTGTGGCTGCTTTATTTCGCAGTGTTATAACGGTAGGAAGGATCGCAGCGCCGGCGCGAGCGCCCTGCTCCCCGTTGTGTGTGATTGTGCTCCCCGTTCGTTGTGGTGATTGTCTGTCTGTGTGCAGTCTTTTCTCACTTGCCGAACCCGTACGCATCAAGAGTCCATTGGTAAGCGGCCAGGCATATCTCGATTGCATTGAGATATATGGGGGCAGATACCACCTGGGCAGATACCACCTGCATGCGATGTGTTCCCTCGCTGCTTGGATCCCTCTTCAGTTGGATAGGCACGGCTCACCTGGTGGCCTCCGTGCTGTCCTTCATCAAACTCATCTCCGTGGACCCAGGTGAAAAGGGGGGGGGGGGGGGGG